CAAATATATCGCATAAACTTCAATTATAAAAAACTAAATATTTGCAATAAAATTTAACTATATTTTACAAAATTTAATTTGTGAATTCAAATTTGGCAGTATTTTTTGAATTTGGAAATTATTTATTTTATATGTAATACTTTGTGGCTATTTGCGTCTGTGTCTTTTATAACATATTAGTTCGAGTTGTAATAACTACGGAAGAATACCTGGCAATCTGTTAAAAATAAACCCGCCATTTGCAAATCCGTATGTTGTTGTGAAACGATATTTATTCATACAAGAAATAAATTATCGTTCTACTTATCTATTTCCTCGCAAATGTGTTGAAATACATAGTATGTGGCAGGGATGGTAAAAATTACAAACTCGAGACATTAAATGTTCCTTGTTCTTGTGACTACTAGAGGACGCTGTACAATTTGCCAAATAAACTTGTCAAATACATTTCGCGATCGCTAGCGACAACTGTCACTATAAGCTCATGGTAGAGGGGGTCCACTCTCGTTCTCAAACAATTGCTGTCAAATAAGTAATACTCGACCATATTAAAAGATAATATCAAGTATGAAGCTTCATTCGTATAATGCACCTCTTAATTTTGTTGAGTATTAGAGGTAATCAGAAACAATTACTGTTTCTGACGGATGTCAGACGAAGAACGGGAGTACAGGGCCAGGAAAAAAAAAAAAAGGTTGTAGTACGTAAGATGGCTTGCTGATTAGTCAAAGAAGCTACTTAATGATCATTCGGCCGGAGATATTGGGTTCTCATTAAACGCAGGGACCATTTCCATTGAGCCTCGCTTCAATTCAGTAGCGATAATGTTCGCTGTAAAATACATCCCCTCTAAAAGTCTAACACATAATGAACTCGTACTACCTGTTTATATCTAATGTAATGAGTATCTAAAGTAAATACCTATTTACTTTATTTTCCTACATTAAATACTAAATACTTAAATTAGGGCTACTTCAAATGGATAACATTGGTGGTCAGAATGATGGTAGAGCTCTCCTAAGTACGGGTATGCTAACATATTTGGCGAGATAGAATACAATAGAATAAGCTTTAATGCACTCAAAAGAAACAGAGACAATACAAAGACATAGTGAAAGGTACAATCGATTACACAGCGATCTTTACCAGCAAGAACTAAACGGTATATAAATTCAATTAAATATACACTTAAACTTCGTAAAACGTACTATAACATACATACATGTACTGCCGCCGTGGCGCTTGTGACAAAAACTCAAATCAGAGAAAATGTGTTTAATAACGCACACATACTCGCACACACTCAACATAGCCCAACAACTAGGGAAACCCTGTGTTGCGAGTGCCATAGACGACCACAAATTATACCCAAACTCACGAGAAAAATAAATACAAATATTTCTTCCGGGCCGGGAATCGGACCTGGGACCTCTGCGTGGCAGTCCGGCATGGTAACCGTTCGGCCGCCGAGGCATGTTTAAATAAAATTAAAAAAATATCTACTTTTCTCTTGCGGTAACCATCGATCTAGGAAAAAATAAAAATAGTGACAAATCGGCCTTTTTTACTGATCTCTGCAGTATACATAACATTTTTTTTTAAATGTCACATACGCCTTTTTGTCTAACGGCCGCAGTATAGCTGCATACTAAAATGTATACATATACAATAATCGATACCTCCAACGAACACTACGCCAACTTAATTTTTGGACCTGGGGGCCTACCACAACCTCTTAAAACAATATTATTACTTTAACCATTGACTTTTCGTACCATAACGCGTAAAGTAAGCTTATTGTAATATTAAAACTATGAGGTTTTATTGGCCGCTTTGCGACTATTCATTCACTCAGTTCGTACTATGACGCGACTTTAACATTAAAGTAATATTGCTCTTATCTCAAATTTAGCAATCTTAATATAGTGACACGGATGCGATGGAAACAATATTATTTTCAGTTTTATTGTCTAAATATTGATTTGTAATGATTAAAAGTTAAGTTGAACTTATTTATTTATATATCTCTCTAATATTTTGTTTATTTTTTATTTAATAGCACATAGTAAATAATGTTTCGTGAAATAAAAATACGCGATGTTTATTTCGTAAAATATATTATAACAGCGCCATCTATATGCTCCTTGGCGAAACTAACAGTTTCACATTAGACTATAGTTCCGAACCTACAACGTGACTATAAAAACTAAGCTTGTTTTATTCTTTTTTCTTCATGAAAATGCGGAATAATTATTGAAAACAACGTCATTTTAATAGATTTTATTATTACATACTTTCCTTTTCTTAACAGTCAAAATTCTCTGAATGTAAATAACATTAAAGTACTTAAACATTATATTACGATAAGACGATTCGGAACATCAAAAAAGAAAGAGATGGCATAATATAATTCACATAGCGTTATCTCTTTCCTATTTTTAGTATGGAATAGAAAATATTGGGAAATCATTCGTTCTTTCAATCACTTTTGCAATAATACATTAATTACTTGGTCGACAGGTTCGTAATGGTACCAACATGAGTAATATTACAATAAGCTTACATTGGAATAAAACTGTTTTTGGAAAGGTTATGATAGGCCCCCTGCTCTTTTTTTATTTACTGTTCTGTTTTTATTTTGTTTTATTTTTCGAATTTAGTTTTTTGTTTCTTTATTTTTTTCAGAAAATTAGGGGAGCATAATAGTAAATAAATATGGCTGTTTACAAAAATAACGGATAATGACCAAAAAATAAATGTTCATTGGAGGTATCCATATTATACTGAATTTGCTTGTGATTTACAAACGACTAGCTGGTGCTTTACTTCGAGTAGCCTACTGTACAATACAAATTATTAGTTTTATTGGTTCTCCATATTTCATACCCTATTCATCCCGTTAAGATTTATTTTTGTGACAAAAAGTAGCCTATCTCTTTCTCCTAGGTCCCATCTATCTCTATACCAAAATTCATCAAATTTGGTTCAGCGGTCTAGGCGTGAAAACGTACAGACAGAGTTTCTTTCGCATTTATAATACCAGTGTGAATTAATTTTATTGGATAAAATTTTATACTATGAATACCAGCGGCGAGGCTTGAAAATTTGTTGTTAGTAAAGCCGGAAACAAAGAACACCTACCTTAAGAAAACACAACTTATTAGCGCACAAGGTACTCGTATGCTTCATTTCACTGGTTAACTTATTTTACACTTAAAATTTTGCACAAAATGTAGTATTTGATAACATGTAAAAATTTTAGGCAAGCCAGTGAAAATCAAAGTATGAATGAACGCCTCGCCACTAATTTATATTTAACTTAATAATACAGGGTTATTTTTAAAATACCAACAACCTCGCCGGACTATGTTAGTAACATCATAAACAACAACTTTTGTTCCATGACTTTTAATAATTCACCATATTTTACTATATACAAAAAAATGAGTTTAAATAGATCGCTCTACTAATGAGCGCTCGCAAAAGCTCCATGTACAAAAGAGGGGAAAGTTACGCTTTTTAAAGCTTTTTGTCAGTCAATATATTCGAGTGGTCTATGAGTTAGATATACACAGCGTACATATAACTCAATAAGAGTACAGTACAATAACATCTTCAGGATGCCACGGCACTCCAGTGCGAAGCGCGAACAGATGACTTTTATGCAACATAATATGATCACATAATTCTAGTCTGCCAAAATTGTAATGAAAAAAATAAGTTTTTACGAATGTTCAATTCATCAGTCAGAAAGACATTTATAATGTTAAAAATAAGTGTGTTCAAATATTGTCATTAACAAAAGTCTGGATTTGCGTCTAAAAAAAATGCCATTAGGCGAAAAAAGGTGTCGTCTCTGCTAAAGAGAGGGCGTGACAGTGGCAATGTCATCCTGAAGATGTTTGCCCATCGTTTTGACTGACAATTTTAAAGTTTTGGATTAACATCGTTACTGGTCAAATTAAGTAATAATTTGTGCATTTTCTTAATTTTTGAAGTTCAATATGTTAGATTTTTTAATCAAATTTTCAAAGAGGAAATGAAACTATTTTTCCGGATTTAAATCGGTTGACACCGTGACCATGGGACCTACACAGGGCCCGAAACGTTGGTTTGTTTGAAAAAACAAATATACGTGATTTAAATCCGGAAAAATAGTTTCATTTCCTTTGTGTAACAATCGCGAAAACCCACTTTATGTGGTCTATGCGAAAACCTAATAACTCAAATTTTCTACATTCATTGTAATCATACTAACATAGTTCTAAGGGTTTATTTTGCAACTAACAAAATTATCTTACGGGCTACGGCCTGAAATCAATAGTGTATTATTATTGGACGCTCGCACGTTTGAATTTATTTCACTTCATGCAGATCTAAAAAGTATCAGATAGTACAATAAAAGCTTAAACGTTTATTTTTGGTAAATTTAATATTATGTTTTGTAAAAAGTAATGGAAGAAAAGTAGTTATTTATGATGTTCGTAACATAGTCCCGCGAAGTTGTTAGTATTTTAAATATAACTCTGTATATAAATAATGCGCCAAGTGGTTAAATGTATCAAGCTTCATAACTCCCAGTCTTAAGTCTCTTAGTTAGCCTATTATTTTTTTAAATACTATTTTGTAGTAAGAAAGGACCTTGGGACACACCGGAGATTTCAACTAATACCTCATGTGAGGTAGCTTCCAGTCTTGAGTCTCCCAGCAGGTCTATTATAGAAAGAAAGAACACTGGGATCCTACGGACTGGATATTTCAACTAATACCTTCGGCGAGGTACCTGCCAATCTTGGGTTTCTTACTCGGTACAATATTTTAGAGACAATTTTATAGAAATGAAGGACACTAGACTTCTCGGGCCGGAGATTTCAACTCCGAACGGTACAATTAAGTCGTGGGATCTTTGGTCTTGGTACTTTTTTAATTTTTCGCCAGCTCTCATTATTATCCATGAAATTCGAAGAACTATAATAACGCGAAATCTTCTTTATTTTCAGCAATGAAATATAAACCTGGCGAACAAGATTCATCATGCATAGAACATGAAAAAGGTAAGCTGATAAATATTTTAAATCGCCAAATTAGTCACCGTTCAAAGGGGTGTATGTACGTTTTAACATTTAATTTTCGTAAAAAATATTATAAAGTCCGTGGCCGGATAATTTTAGACTCGTCATACAGAACATGGGTCAATTTAAAAACATAAATATATTTTTTCACCTCCCTAGCTCGGAAAGGCTTTCTTTCTCATTAGAGATCTGCCCGCAAATGTTTTGAAAATCGATCTTGACGATGGACTGTGGTGCACCTAACTTTTCCTTTTGATGAAAAAAGAATAAAAAAACATAATGGCACGTTCAACTTCGCGATTTGTCGTACATTATTTATGTAATATAAATCCGTTGGTATTATATATGTATATATATTTAATATTATTATATAGCATATATATTTTATTCTTCTTATTATTTTCATTAAATTTACGACGATAACTAATTTCGTTTATTAAAACTAAATTTTTATGGATAAACTGTTTTTCTTTGAGGAAAACACTAGTTCGCTATAGTGAGGTGAAAAGTTGTGTTTCGCTCGGCAGCAAAGTTGTTTTCGTCTCGTGTCTTGAAATCCTCACAAAGCTCAGTCACAACCCGGACACTCCATACAACGGCCGAAAGTATTCTACCTACTATTACAACATACAGCAAGGTGCCATCTGCATACGCGCAAATGTGTGCTTGAAGTGGCAGGGTTACCCATCACTTTCTCGTACTATTACTTGGTCAGAGCGGCAACATAGCGAAAATTCTAACGCGAATCTGTTATCTATAATTCCATTAATAGAATCCTAATAATTACACATGTTCATTAGTTATTTACATCAATATAATATTATATTTTTCATTGATTCACTAACTACAATAATCCTAAAGGTTTATTTAAAAAAAAATTAAACACCAGTTATATTTTGGACAGGTACTTTTAAGGTAACCAAGGTATTCAAAATTGCATGTCCAACTTTATCATTACTTAATAATTATATTCACTACATATATTTAAATAATAAACCTGTATTTGCATATTACTCTGTACTAAATAAATGAAGAAAACAATAACCGAATGAGTTTCAGACATTAAGTTTTTTTTACTTACCTCGTTTCATCTTTCGGAAAACGAAAAAAACTCCTCTTTTATCCCATTTAGATGATGATAAAAACCCCGTATACAGCACCACTTATGACCATTATAAATAGTAACGTACAATGATGTTATACATGAACGTACAAGTTTAATAATGAATAAATGAAAACTATATTCAAATAATATCAAAGCCGTCTTAGCGCGAAACCGGATCGCCGACAGCCTTCTTGCCGTTCAGTCAATGTGTCCGTCAATGTGCGGGGCGTGGTGCTCGCTTCCCTCGTGGTTGGTTCTTCGATTCCTTCGCTTGCTCAGGTTTCAATACAAGCACCCGCGTCAAACAACAACTTTCCAGCCTTGCATAACAAATAACTAATCAGTGAACGAATTTATAATTCTGTCCAAACATAGTCAAAGTAAAAGTCAAATTATCATTTGTTTTATTCATATGTAAGCAAACTATACATCAAATCGGCATATTGATTAAACCCTACTGCTCATTCGTAAGGCAGATTCCCCAGAGAAGAATGAGCAAGAAACTCTAAGAGGGTTGCTCTTTGTAATTAAGCATTTGTACATCTTTATCATTTACAATACTTATTTCAAACATCTAGATCGAGACAACCTGCAAGAGCTAAACGGGTCACTACCACAGATTTCACATATAACAATAATAACGTACACACTCAACATTACAATTAGGTACGCATTTAGGAACAAATGAAGAAATACAGTGACATTGTTATTCTTTTAAATTTTAATTTGACGTAGCCAGTGATAGTTAAAAGATGATAAAAGATTTAAAAAGATACGTACGATATGGTTTTAATTACTAAGCAATGTCGTAAACAAACAGGATATGTTTTATAATTAACCGACTTCAAAAAAGAAGGAGGTTCTCAATTCGACTGTATTTTTCGTTTACCAATATGTTATGTAATGTATAATGAAAGAGGGTACCTCAGTATCGTTCCCTTTTAAATTTGAAATTTGAGAATATTCCACCTCTAAAGGTGGCAACTAGAGGATGAATCCGGCTTCCATAATACATATTTTTCAATAATTCTTGGCAAATAGATGTAATTCCATGAATTCTTGAGGTGGTTTTTTTTAATAAAAAAATTACAATTATTGTTTTTTAAGTTTCACGAAAGGCCGTCATCACGCTTATTAACGTGGAATCGGCTAGAGGTGATCATCATTTACCACAATTATTGCAGTAAGCCCATTCACCGGCGACGCGGCCATTCGGGCGTAGACGCAGCTGTCGGGCGTAAACGCAGCCGTTTCATCTCCTCACCGTGGCGTTCGGGCGTTGATACAGCCATTCAGCCAATGTAGCCATGGCTTTTCCGCTCTTATTCAATGGACATAAAGCTTTGTCTCATCGATTTAATGCGTTTCCGTACTGATAAGTGTGGTGACTCCTTAAACAGATTTATAGCGATTACCTTATTTAAAAATGATAACAATGAAATAAGTAATTAGCTTTAACAATTTTAGTTCCCTGTGTTAGTACAAAGTGTCTGAATAAATGAAATTGTGTCCCCGCGACAGGCTACTTAAAATGTCGACAGTATGGCTATACGTTGGGCAAAAAACTGACGAAACTTCGAACTTCGAACGAAAGTTGGCACCCTTGGTGTAAAAGGCCAGTAGTGACAGGACAACAAGTCTTTTTCCTGATTGTAAGCTACACGCCTGTCTATAACAGTTGCAGTGCCACTCAGAGCTTTAAATCGCAATGATCTGAGAGGCACTGCCATTGCGCCCTTCACCCTGACCTTCAAACATAAGTTGACAAGTCCCATGTGCCTGTAATTTCACCAGCACCCTTCAAAATCGGAACACTGTAATGTTGACATTACTGCTTGGCGGCAGAAATAGGTAAGGTGACAGTACTAACCTGGACGAAATTTTAGCAGCAGAAAAGCTCCTTGTGAATGAGTAAGGAGCTCTTCTGCTGCTAAAATTTTTATAGTTAAAGCTAAAGTTATTATTACTATTATATGGAGCGCACTATAAGTTCCCCGAACTGGCCACTTACATAAACAATATTTAAAAAGTAATTACAACATTTGAAAATGGAACTTTTTGGCTGTAGAATACAGTTTGTTGCATCTGACTGTCTCTTGTTTTTACATTATGGTGTCATTTTAGAAATTGGTTGTCTACATCACTATGGATTTAGTTCTATGATTTTCTACGACTTTTAGTGTAATTTAACAGCTCAGCGGGGTTTCGCTCGGTTTCAAACTGCTTTTGGCGATGAAGCACCATGCAAGACGACTATTTACAGCTAGTTTGTAGAATTCAAACGCGGTCGTGTGAATCTCAGTGACGAATTTCGTGATGGTCGCCCGTCCATTGCTGTGAACAACAAACACATCGATGCTGTGCGCCGAATGATCAAAACAGACAGGCATGTGACATACCATGAGATTTGGTCATCTTTAGGCATAGGTCATGAGTCAAATATAATCAATACTACACAAACGTTTGAATGTGAAAAAGCTGTGCTCTCGGTGGATCCCACACAATTTAACTGAGGCTCAAAAAACGGATCGCGTCACTTGGTGCAATGCCATGCTTACTAGATTCAACGAAGGGGCGTCAAATTTAGTGTGGGACATAGTAACAGGCGACGATACATGGATTTATAGATTTACGATCCCAAAACATAGCAGCAATCGAGCGTATAGGTCTTTCGAGATGAGCCGAAACCAACAAGGGGCGCGCGTGCAAAGTGCCTCTAAGCGGATGATGGCTTCTTTTTTTAATAAAACTGGACACGTGGCTACTGTTGCTTTGGAGAATCGTTGTACCGTGAATAGTGATTGCTTGCTACACCGCCATTTGTTTGCTGTAAGTTATTGACAAACTCCGTAAAAATGACCGTAAACGCCGTATCATCTTGCACCACGATAATGCTAGTTCTCACACGGCCAGACACAAAAATGAATTTTTGTAGGGGAACAACGTTGACTTTATAAGCCATCCCGCGTACAGTCCCGACCTGGCACCTGGCACTGACATTTATTTATTTCCAAAAAATAAGAACCAATTACGCGGGCAACAATTTTTATCACCTGAAGAGGCTGTCGAAGAGTATGAATAATATGTTTCAGAGATTGTCACGGAGGAGTGGCATAAATGTTTTCAAAATTTGTTTATTCGTCTATAAAAGTGCATTAACGCTAACGGAGAATATTTTGAGAAACAATCAATTAATTTCTGACCTTTTATAGTATTTTTTTATTCATTCCGGAAACTTATAGTGCGCCCTACGTGTACACTATTCTGTACGTATGTTTGTGAGAATGTGTAAGGGCGCCTTCAAATTAGTCGTCACAGTGGCGCTGCAGCCGCGCCACCACTAATTTTCATACAATAATTAGAATAGGATAGAATAGAATAGAATAGAATACGTTTATTTGCTAGAATACAGTAATTACTTAGGTCTTAAGTGAAATTAGATACATTGTATTCGATCTGCAAGCAGATGCACAAATATTAATGGGATTTAATGTTTAGTCTCTACAGTTTCTAATTAATGTAATGAATTTCTAAATTCTGAGTATTCTTTCTATAGAAGCAATGTGTCAAATTTTGTCAATTGTAATTTAAAAGTGTGTCCTTGTAACAAGTTAATTTATAGATAGATAGATAGATAACACGTTTATTCAGCACAAATACAAACAGAAATAAAATATTTACAACCACTTTACAGAGTATAACATAAAAGCACATAGAACATTCATTATTAATTTTATAAACACAAAACACATATTGCGAGAAAAACAATTACTGTGAGAAAAACAAACAAATACTATAACAACTGATAAAATTTTAATGTACTTATGACTACAGTTTGTGCTGAAATGGCCCTGACTCAGCATAAATACTGTAGACCGAGAGAAGTCAAACAGTGCTGGTTTTCTGCCAGTACCATATGGTGATTTAATCATTGACTTACAATTATATGGACGTCGGGTCCGCGCTAAAAAGTGTCCGCACTTGTAAGGCGCTAAAATCGTATACAGAGCGCGACACTCCGCTTTAGTCTTCATTTGTTCTACTGACAGCGCGATACTGCGATGACATTACAATTTAAATTTCGAATAGGTTGACTTGGGACATTTTTTTCGTGGTTTTTGTATTAGACCCGTCGTCCATTTATTTGTAAGTCAATGGATTTAATTGATTGATTTCGTTTGGTAATTTAATTTAAATAATTATACACATGTTGAAACAGTTATTCTTATAAATTACTTTATGGCAACGAGGTTGGTATAAAAGATTCATAAGTTTTTGCTCTATTTTGCCTCTAAATGACTTCACCGCGTGTTTTGAAATATTGAGGATGAGAGTTGACAAATACGCAGATATCCCTAATGTACGTGTATGGCAAAGGTAATGGTTATGTTTAGCCTTTTGAACAGCGGTTTGCAACTGTCATCGAACCACGCGCCGCAAATTGCTCGAATACACTTCTTCTGGACTTTAAACGCTCTTTCTAAGACTACTGAGTTGCCCCTTAGTACAAAACCGTAGCTGAGCACGGACGAAACGTAGCCGTGATAGGCCGTCAACGCAGCTTCTCGCTAGATATGGCAACATTGTCGTCCCGCTGCAGCGCTTTTACAAGCGTCTAATGTGAAGGCGCCCTTAGTGTGGTGTAAACCGTGTGCGGATTGACGTGTTTTAATGAAACTAATCCGATATGTTCGATTTTCAGAATCACCAGTCCAGATTGCACAAGTCATAGAATGTCAGACTGGATCCCAATGGGAGAGCAACTGTCATTCTTGCGGATGTTTCTTTGGTGTTGCCAAATGCAAAATTATGGAGTCGTGTGATAAAGAGTATGGTAAGATTTATATTTGTTTTTTTATGATATCAAGGGAAGCGCCTGGTGGCAAGCGACACGCCTATTCATGCCAATTGCAATGCCACTCAGAGCTGTATAGCGCAAAGATCTGAGAGCCACAGCCACTGCACCCGTCACCCTGAGACGTATGTAAATTGAAAAGTCCCACGTGCCTGCAATTTCAGCACCCTTAATCCTTCAAAATCGAAACGCAGTAATAATCATATGAACATTACCTAATCGTTTTCTCAAACTGAAATAAATTTTAAATATTGGACAGAAAATATTCGATTGTAGTCCTTATAATCTTTATTTTTAAGCATATTACTGCTTTGATTGACCCTTGAGGTGAAATGGTATCACTATATTAAGCATATTACTGCTTTGATTGACCCTTAAGGTGAAATGGTATCACTGTATTAAGCATATTACTGCTTTGACTGACCCTTGAGGTGAAATGGTATCACTATATTAAGCATATTACTGCTTTGACTGACCCTTCAGGTGAAATGGTATCACTTTATTAAGCATATTACTGCTTTGACTGACCCTTAAGGTGAAATGGTATCGCTATATTAAATAATTGTATTATTTAAAATCCGCGTCCCAAGCCGGATGCCCCGGCACCCGGTCGCACTACTCCATCCGCCGCCTTCTAGGACCAACCTTAAGTATCACTCCGCTGTCGCTAGATTGTCAAGAAGCTTTAACGCGCTTGATCAAACAATAGATGCGTTCAACGATTCGCTCCATGTGTTTAAATCTAAAATACGAATGAATCCATCTGGGCGTAACTCATGTTTATTTTATTCTATATATCTATATATATATATATATATATATATATATTGTATATATACAGAAATCAGAATATCTGTACAGAAATCTAGTAGCAATTGGTCTATTATTAAAACTTGTAGCAACACTAAATAAATAAACTTTTTTAACTTTGTTGGTTTTATAATATCTGTAGTTTTGTAAATTACTATGACTTTTATAGTTTTTAAGTGCAACACAGACAGCCTCTATGTTTCATTAGTTATGTAAGTAGTAACCGAGTGTCATTACTACATTATACATTAAATATTCAGTAGTATTTATTTGTTTAGTTACCGATTAGTTAAAAACCTTAAGTATAAATTAAATATTTAGTGCTCCGTTTGCCGGTCGGTTGTAGCAAGCGAATAGATATAGTTTTAGGTGTAGACTGAAAATCAGCAATGCTGAGTCTTCAACCTTTTTATTCACATTTCTGTTTTAGTTGTCGCTGTTTTTTTATTTGTACTAGTTTTATGTGTATTTTGTGGATAAATAAATGTCTTTTTATTTATTTATTTTATTTATTTATATATATAGAATAATTTTTTTTTGTTTATATTCCATTTATACCCCCTGTCATTGCTTAAATTTTCTTTTCGTTTTCTTTGCATGTTGTGGCACCTACAGGGAGTGCAATTAGATTTAAATGTATTTTTTTTTTCCCTATTCCCTTTTTTATTATTTCATTATTCCCTAGATTTATTGTATCGGCCACTGGCTGTCCTTAAATAAATAAATGATATCACAGTTGCGTAGGCTTTGAAGCGTGATTTACGTCGTCTGCTCATCGAATTGCAGAACGTTTAACGCTTCAGTTTTCACGCCACCTTTCGGATGCCACCTTGCAAGATGTCTAACGTTTCTGTAGTTACCTTACGAATGGGTGACATTAATTCCCTTTCAACTTCGGTCGTGATTTGTAAATACTTGAAACTGTTTCAGCTGAACCAATGAGATGCAAGCCCAACACGGATTTCGCTCACGATTGTAATTGGTGCACTTGCACGGACAATGGAATGTTACTGTGCACTTTGGCGGAATGCAACAAATTACCCAGTGAGTTTCATAATTGATGATTAAACGAACTTACCTGTACCTGAAGCTCGACCATATTTACGTATATGACCATTCATTTCGTTCATTCATTCGTAGCCATTTGTAATCACTCACTCCTCATCTTAGCTATGAATGAGATATATTTTATGATTACCCAACCCTTCATTTATTATATAGAGGAAATAAAAGAAAAATAATAGGGACTTTAATACTTTCTATACTTTGAACGTAATGAAAAGAAATGGCGCGAATTCAGACGAAAGCGTGGAGACATAGCTACAATATGTAAACTAGAATAAATTGCTAAGAATGAAACTGCGAAATATATAATAATTACTTGTCATATTTACATATGAATAACTAACTTAATCTTGATTGACAAGATCGCATCTTGAACCTAACTTCACTTTAGTATTATAACGATAAGTAAGTTTATTTAATCAATCAAACAAAACCAATTTTTGAAAGCTATCGTTTCGAGGCTTGAGTCTAATCTTAAGTTAAACGGCGAAAGAAAACTTCTCCAGGATTGTTTTGAAGAAGTTTTATAATCTTTGATACTTCCTCTGAGCCACCGAACAAATTTCCTGTAGACACTCCCTCCATAACGTACGTGCAACTAGCATGATACGAACACAGGCAGAATGACAATTAGTCTCACGAGCCATTCATTAAAAACTGAATTGAACCGAAGGTTTTTAAAAATTCTTTGATGATACGTTAAGCCCTGAACCCGCATCGTGGCGACCATGCTCAATTGTTGATGTAATGTCCCGGGTTTATGAAGAAGTGAAATAATTTCTTAGGAACATGTGTTCGGTTACCAAATTTTCCTCATTTCAGTACTAAAGGCATCGGAAGGGAAGACGTGTGCACCAGGTAGTCACTGGATGAATCAATGCAACAATTGCAGCTGCATTGACGGCAGGAGCTTCTGCAGTAAGAAGTATTGTGGAGAGGACAATGGTAAGCCTTTTGAATACATTTTGGAAAGTCTAGATGGAGAGTTGTTTGAAAAGTTGCTAGTCCATCAAATCAAAGACTAAATTTAGTTAACATTGTTAACTAAAATTTTAGTCTTTGTTTATAATTGACATTTGCAAGGTTGTGTTGAGAAAGTGTGTAAAGACTTTCATGATACAATATTTCGATAACTCCCACTTAAGTTGTTGTAACTCAAAATACCAAAGATCGAACACAGAAAAATTTCGTCGACCCGGTGGAACTTGAACCCACGTCCATTCTACACCTTAGCACTGCTCTAACCATCTGAGCCATGGGTCCAGTTACCGAGTCTTCGAAATCTTATTAACTTTTTTTATGTATATTGTAGGTTGCATGTTTGAATGTCAACATAATGTTAGGGATTTCTTTACTATTAAATATGGAACTTATAATACGCGTAAAAAAGTGTAATTTATTTTAATTTAAAAAGTAAAAAAATGGTATTTTGACTTACAATAACGTTGGAGGTATCGATTTACACTTTGATTTTTCCACTTACTCCGCTGGATCAGTGACCCGATAAGATTCTAGGCCTTGGTCTCCGATAAGAGATGTCGCCAGCGCGCCCTATGTTGTGCGATCTCCTCCCGGTTTCCTGGGCGTAGGGCGCGGAGGTGTTTCTCCATTTCGCCCGTCTGTTGGTATTTGGGCCGACTTACCGGTCGTCGATCGGTAGGTCGCTATGCTCGTATGAGTTGGCATCCTTTCGAGGTGTCCGAGCCAACAGATTCTTGCGAAGTTTTCTTCGATGATTTTGGACTCAAATCTGATGCCACCAGTTCCTGATTCTTTCGGATCCTCCAGCTAGATTATGAACGTTACTGTAAAACATTGTATTATCACGTTTACAGTGTATCAAAAGACCTGCGCTCCTGAGTCACGCTGGACCGATGGCTGCAACAACTGCTGGTGCACATCTAACGGTGACCCTATCTGCACTAGACGAACTTGCGTCAATGGTATGCACATTTTATACGTCTCACCCATAGATCTATCAATTGTCAAACAAACGAAATTGATAGTGTACATGTTTAGTACTAATTTATAAAAAGCAATATTACCTTAATAAAATAAGACAAGTAGTGCTATCCATACAAACGTAGCAACGCGATTGTGTATGTGCACGTCTGCCGCGCACACATTTGCATGAACTCGCTGTACACTTGAGTTGCACAGCGCATTTCCTGATCACACACTAATAGTCGATATTTTTTTACGAACAAGCGTGCGCCTGGTGCTAAGCGACACGCCTTTCCATGACAGTTGCAGTACCACTCAGAGCTTTAAAACGCTAAAAATTTGACAAAAGTTATTTTAATACTGCACTAGAATACTGTTGTACAGGTTGTAAAACCTGTGCGTACAACTAAATAAATAATGTGACAACCCTATGCTCAGAGCAACGTGTAGGAATTGTTCTATTATACTATGATATTACCTAGATTACGAACATATATCTCAGCAAATAATTCTATAGATACTAAATTCTATACATAAATTATAACAAACTAGTGGAGTAATTTCACAAAAATAAGTGAACATCATGGCAGTACACATCGTGATCTCGTCGGCGATAGTGCAATTACACTTAATTAGCATTTGATTATGAGTCTCCATTTCGGTAATTTAGTCGCCAAATGAAATCCACGTAAACGTCATGGCAACCAAATTCGCGTGATTTACGGGAATCTAGTACTATGAGTCCGTAGACAAAATAAATGATCGCCTACTGTGCAAAAATGAAAGCTGTAGCCATTGAAATAACAAAGTAATAACGTTAAATCCCTCACCTGTGAAATTTGGTTTGGTGCAGATACGCGCCTATTACCAATACTAAATACGCGGATTTGCACTATCCACCAGATATGTGCGAGGTAGATTGGCGGTGCGAGGTTGCTTAACGAAGCTATGAAACGGTGTGTAGCGAGCGATGCGAAGTTGACTAGCGGACTCTTTTCAGCTGTGTGCGGGTGGGGTGCGGGTGGGGTGCGGATGGCGGGGTGAGCGGAGGCGACAGCGAACTCGCTCACGTTCCTCTCACACATTCCTCCCTCGCATCCTCGCTTTTTTGTAGTACAAATACTTAGCTCCGTTATTCCGTTAACCCCTTTCCACCAGAGCTGCGCTTAGCGAGGCTAAGAAAATGAAGTAATCTTATTGCTGGGTTTTTTTGTCGCACCGCACCGCCTAGCTACCTCGCACTTCTCCGGTGGAAACGCAGCCTTAAGGACCAGAGTACTAAGTCGCTGAACAAAATATAGTGCAATATAAACATTACTTAAAATTATTATTTTTCAGATGATCTTGGATTGAATGTAGATGCGAAAAATGAAAATGAACTAAGAAAAACTGATTCAAGCTTGGTGAGTGCAAAATATTATCTATCACTTTGGTGTATTGTTAGTACATAACTAAACGTAGCAGTTTAATTTGCAAGTTTCATTTGTTTTTTGCACTGAATGGTAACATCCACCAAGCCTAATTTAAATAAGACATATCCGAGAATAGGAGCGGACGTGATGCATCTGCTTGTCATTCCAGTGCATATGATACTAGTTAAACAGATATTGTCGTCTTAGAGTGAATACTTCGATATGATTTCTATGTAATTTTTCAGGAGGAATATAAGAATGTGTGGTAAAATATAGTAAACACGTATAATGTCATTTAATTCCAGAGGCTATGTTATTTTAGTAATATATTAAGGAAGAGGTTTATTAGATTGGCTTCAACAAAAATCTGTAATAGCAAACTATATTATTTATTTAAATACAACATCAACACATTTATAAAGAAACTTACACCATTACAGGCGCAAACAGCAATTACGCCAGGTAAAATCAAAAACTTTAATTTAAAAAAAAAAGTAAAAATAATCTAAAGACAAAAAAGAAAAGAAAAACTACTAAGAGATTCTAGAACCAAACTTCGAGGACTTCACCCTTAGGCTGCCTTTCCACCAGAGATGTGCGAGGCAGCGAGGCGGTGCGAGGATGTGATGCGACGCTGCGAAACGGTTGGATGTTTTCCACCAAAGCTGTGCGAGGTAGCTAGGCGAGACGATGTACAGCGGCGCGGTGCGAGGATGCGTTACGGACTCTTTTCAGCTATGCGCGGGCGGGGTACGGTGTGGTGGGATGAGCGGTGGCGACACAGACCACATAAATATTCGTTTCTTTCTTCCGTGGGTGGCGATGTGTCAGTGTCAGTTAGTGTCATACTTTAAGTACCTAGCTTTAGTTTCCTACACCGTTTTGCACACATTCTTCGCCCGCATCTCTCGTACACATTTCTCGCTATTTTGTGTGTACAAATACTTAGCTCCGCTAAACCTTTTCCACTAGAGCTGCGCTAAGCGAGGCTAGAAAAATGAAGTAATCCTATTGGTGGATTTTTCCTCGCACACCGCCTCACTACGTTGCACATCTCCGGTGGAAAGGCAGCCTTAACGCGGTTGTCTTGAATTTGTATAATGAGTCGTGAAAGATGTTAATTTCGTCTGAGTTATACACAGACATATATCGAGATAGACGCCGCTAGTGTACGTACTTCACGTGCCCAAAGTAAGTGAAATTCACTTAGTTGCCGCTGCTACACTTCAGGACGCGCCCGACCGTTATCGTAGATAAATACCAGTCGAAAACGCGAAAAATGCATATTTGTGCTTTTATAAACTGCAGAAGCATCATAGCTATGGGTAAACGGGTAAACAGGGATGTTTCCTTCTACGGGCAAGTGATTTTGTAATCAGAAGATGCATAATTTATTTTAAAAACAATTATTTTAGTTTTGTATGAATTTCGAGAAGATAAATATGCAACCGAGTGTATGTGTGATAATTTGTAATACATTGCGGCTTTTACTTGGTGCGATATATTTGTGATCCTTTGCTAATACGCCATGAATATCGAACGAACGCACTTTTGTATAATGCATTCAATTTCGTGGTACGACCGCACCGCTTGTACATTTCTTTAGCCAAATTTAACATTTAGTGTTGTATACGTTAGGCAACACTGTCTCGATTCTGATCAATTTTGACGAAAGGGACGAAAATTATTATGACCTTAGCAATATTATAAAAATATTCTATAACTCTTTTCTTATATCGTTATAACGTTTCGTTTTTTTTTTAGTTTTGTAGTATCTATTATCAGTAGTATCTGTAATTTGGATATTTTTTGCAGCACGTTGCCTCGAATGTCCGAATATAGTGAGCAAATAATTACATACATCACCGGATATGTAGTACGAGTAATACATTGACTTACAATTATATGGACGTCGGGTCCGCGCTAAAAAGTGTCCGCACTTGTAAGGCGCTAAAATCGTATACAGAGCGCGACACTCCGCTTTAGTCGTCATTTGTTCTACGGACAACGAGATACTGCGATGACATAACAATTTAAATTTCGAATAGGTCGACTTGGGACATTTTTTTCGTGGTTTTTGTATTAGACCCGTCGTCCATTTATTTGTAAGTCAATGGAGTAATACAAAAAAATATACAATGCAAAGAATTATCAGTGCGCTGTCTTTACAAAAACCTGGCTCACCTGCCAAACTTCATACGTATGAGTTCGTTGCTTTCGAGGATGAAGGTGTGGTCTTCCATCCCATCTAAGATGCTATCCAAATATGCAGAGTAGCAGGGATACAAATCCGAGAAATAATAAACAAATCACAAAAGTTTCACACGTGGCCGTCATTAAGTCAACCTCTTCTGATTAATAAGATTTTATCACATTTTGTTAGCAGTAACATTTTCATTTGTCTTGCCATTCATCAATTTGACCAATTACCAACAGAAAACCATCTAGTAAAATTAATTAAGGCAGTCGCAAGTTCTTATATTGACGTGCGTTTTCGTTATTTAAGTTAAACGATAAGATCTTCTATTACAAAAAGATGTTATATAATGAGCTCATTTTATTGGAAAGACAATAATTTTAATATCTGAAGTCGATTACAAAATTAGTCTTAATTTTTTTTAAGTAATCAACATTTTTTTAAAACAAGTAAAATAAAGGACTTAACTGTCTTATTCTAGTATTTTTGTACTATATTAATATTATGACTACTTGTAATCAACAAATACTTGAACAAAAATTATTCTATTTAGAATCGATTAATTGAATGGAATACGCGTGATTACGTGTTGCTGTACTTGCGGCGTCTATCTAGTTAAAGGAGTTAATTCATGCTACAGTAAAGTGGAGAAAAATGCCCCACATTAGTACGAGATACTGGAACCGAAAATATACTTCGCGCTGAATAATGTGGAAGCCTTCTGGGTATCGCCAAATTAACCGTAAATATTATTCGGGGCGTGTGGAGGCCGCTATGCAAAACGTATTTACGGTCCGTATCGGTATACAGTTGTGAATTGATGTCAGATCTAAGTTTTCCGCCGTATTATTCAAAATATTATGCACTGTAATGATCAGAATGCCACACCCGCTAACGATATCTCTTTGAAAAAGTTATCAACTTGTGTTATTTTCACAACATTATGACACTACGGTTACATTGTTGCACAAAAACGCTGGTAGCGGACACCCTGCACTGAAAATAAATAAGTGAATAAATTCACAAAATGTGGTTGATGGTATGCACTTTTTAACGAGGTGAGTACATTTTCTTTTGAATTTTTTCTACTAAAAGTATTGGGCTTTTATTTAAGTACTAACTTACGCTGACTTGAGTTTTTCTAACTTTAGTATATTCAGAATTTATAATCAAGGATCATGGCCCTTTATCACGATATATTGCTTGAAAACGTAAAAAATTGTAACGTTTATATATAATTTCAGGTACTTCGAAACCCTTTTATTATTCAAAAACATGGCAACGATAATCAACCGCCTAAATACAAACATACAAAAGAAACGTACACAGAAATTGAAGAACACAATCCTATATTCGAAGAAAATTACGATTTCGAAGATCACTATATTGACGATCATGATTTTAACCACCTAGAAGCTGCTGAACAAGATGACGTGAAATTGGAAGAAGAACATAATGTATTGAAAAGATCCGTTTGCAAGCCTTCTCAAGAGTTTCAGTCGGAATGTAATCAATGTAAATGCGCCGCAGATGGACAGAGTTACACATGTACTCAAAATGAATGCATGGATGGAGATAAAAATAAAGAAGTTGAAGTATTTATAGAAAACGAGGTAAGAGGATGAGATCAACCCTTTTTAATCAACCGAAATCCCAAATTAAATTCTGGAGTTTTAAATTTAGTAACGTTATAGCGGATAATTCAAGAAGCAATTGCCCTTTTCCCTTTTTTAAATTCCTGTTATTTAGGATTAGTGTTATAAATAATCATATCCACATTCACAGTCTGTAATAGTCTATTGCTGGGCGAAATCCTCTCCAGCCCTTGACTAAAAATAGTAAATAAATAAATATTAGACAAAATCACATGTTGCTCTGATCCCAAAGTATTGGAAATCGGAAACAACGTTACCACACACACCCAGACCGGAGACATTATAGAAAAGTTATTTTCCTACATTGACCCAGCCGGGGATCGAACCCGGGACTTCAGGGGCAACATGGCGACACCATGTGAACCGGTATACAAACCACTCGACCGAAGTTGTCAAATATAATAGTACATGAGAATTTTCACAGGTATTTGAAGCCCATCCTAACCAATTCTGAAATTCCGTAGCCATTTTAACGTCGACAATAACTCATATTTGTGTACGACACGACCAAAGAGTAACAACTGGTTTTTCCGCAATTTTAAAGTGGTACCCACAGTAATGGATTTACGACTTCGCCCTTTATTATCGGAGTTGGTGTTTTTTTTTTTTCAGGGTGTAGACCACATTGAACAACATTCAGTATGCAAACCTCGTAGTACGTTTTACATTGGATGCAACACTTGCCATTGCAACCCGTACGGCACTGATTACTCTTGCACCAATAAGCCTTGTCCGTTGCCTGAAGATGTTGAGATTTTCCATGAGCTAAAGGTACTTGATGATTTTTTAAAATTCAGTTAGTAGGTGATTGCAAGAAAGTTATTAAATATATTTAGCGTAATCACACGCACACAAACGCGCGCGCACACACACGCCCGCACACATACTCACGAATATTCGCTCACGCACACACATTCGCGCGCGCACGCACTCACACACGAACACACATACATTGTTTCTTGTTATGCTACGCTTTATTTTGTAATATGATCAAACATTTTTTAAATAATGTTACGCTCTTTATAGACCTAGAGGGAGTGAGCGTGGTGATCTGTAACACAGGTCTCTAACCTAGTACAGACTCCAACTGTCACTAAGGAACTTGTATACGTGAAATGTAACTACTTATAGACCTTTCTGAGAGAAATAAAGCATTGTATTTGTATTGTTAATACACACAAATATGTAACCTTAAAGCAAGCACGGTTGCACTGAGAAATCCTATCACCCTTTACGTTCCTATAGGTAGGACAAATTGCAGGCAAAATGCATTTATAAATAGAGCGTTTCGCTCATGTAACTCCTTATTTAATAAATATAGTGAGGTAGACTTGTTCAACACCAGTACAAGTAAGCTAAAACGCTTTCTCAGTGGTACGTTTTTCTACTCTAACTGTTTTACGTATTTAATTTCGATATTTATATTTATTATATTTTTTTAAATCGTCTACTTACTTCATACCATGTTTCTATAATTGTAAAGAAGTTATTTGTGGAAATTTTTAATTAGCCCTCAGCATATCTGTCAGGCGTGTATTATACTTACCATTATGTTAATGTTACCTAGCTGTAAGTTCTCTAAAAGTAATGAAAACAAAATAAAAAATAAAATCAAGTTCAGGGTGTGACCTTGAAGACGGCTGGAGCCTTCGAAACCCTAATTTAATAAGAAAATTTGGATGCCATTCTTTGTCATTTTGAGTAAAAAATTGTGTGTATAACTCGAGCCTGCTGATTTCTAATTTTTCGTCACAACAAGTAGTGATATATGCATTAATTTGGTTAATATCTAAAATAACTGTAACATTTCAGGATATGAAACCAATAATACCGTACACAAAGGACAAAGCTTCTAACCGAAGTGAATCGCAGAAGTCAAACCATGCTGTCCGTATATAGTAACCGCTCCATTCGAAAATCGAAACTTGAATAAGAAATTATGAATGAGATGTGTTTGTTCAATAAGTCTTATTTTTGATTAAAGTTATTAATGTTTTGGTGTATTTTATTCATCATTATTTTCACCAAATTTCATAGTCGCCTTTGGATTTGTATTGTTTTCTTTCATTATTTCTTTAAATATCATGTTTTTTATGTTTGTCATAACCATTACATCTAATATTTAAGACTCAACTGGACATGTTCTATCATACTTTTATTTCCAACCCATCTTTCAAGGCAACAAAGTCACCTACAAATGTAACAAAAAAGATCGTCTGTGTGGCAAACAGAATGTTCATTAAAGACTGCAATACTTGTTGGTGTAACGAAGATGGAACCAGTTTCTTCTGTACGAGGAAAGTTTGCGTTCCAGAATTCCCAGATGAGGATGGGACTGGAGAAGTAAAACTTGAGGTGATTCGTTACGAATTAATGCTTTTATAACTTTGCTATCTGCTGGTATGCGGAATGGTGGACGTTCTTGTTGTATTGCTAACTGTTGTAAATGAGGCTTATTTGTTTTATCATAGTTGATTGTTTAGTCTCTCTTGCAGAATTGTTTCCTTGTTGGTATGTCTGCTTCAGTATTCAGTTTTGGGATTTATTTTGGAATTTTCTTCGTCGTAAGATAATTCTTTAACCGCTCTCTTACGTAGGCGTGCTTAATTAGGTACGGCAATGGCGCCCTTTAATCGCTTTCATTTATACGTGGATACAGCGTTATTTGTACAATACTCATAATCTCAGTACAGAGTACCTACTAAAAAACCGACCTCAAAAGTCGTTAATTCCTTTGTTTGTCACCCTAAGATATGGAATATTTTCTTCAAATTTAAATGGGCCTACTTCTGAGTACCGTCTTTTAAAGAAAAAAAACCATCTAAATTGGTTCACATATGATTCGGAGTTATCGCGTAACACACACACAAAAAAATACAGTCGAAATGAAAACCTTCTTTTTTTGAAGTCCGTTAACAATATGGCAGGACTATATTGCTAACATGGAAACAACAATTTTTGTTCCAAGACTTTCAATAATTTATCAAATTTTACTTTCATACAAAAATAAAACTTATTTTTTATTTTTTTTATAATATCAAAGGCTGGCACGGTGTTAGCATAATATCCATAAAGAATGAAAACGCTGCCAGCATTTTAAGAACTCTACCGCGGGGACTTAATATCATCTATTTTATGCAGTTTGTGACGTTTGCTAGTTCTTTGTATTATTGTTTACTAATTAATTGATACGTAAACAGTAATGTAAAGTCTTGACTTGTTTATGGGAAATCAAGACGAATAAATTTGCTAACGTTTTCCTCAATCATATTTACGCGGCACGGGTCTCCTCAAAGGAGAGGGTTTAGGCTCAGTATAATATCTTTTAGGCATAGTACAAGTATAGTAACTCCATACAGTCGCAGCGCGGCTTGTATGTGTGCACGTACGCACACATTCGCATATACGGTCATTCTTGGACTAGTTTTTTTTAAATAATATCAAGTGACGGGAAAAACAAGTCGTGCGCCTGATGGTAAGCTACACGTCTGTCCATAACAGATAGAATATTTAAATAGATCCCTCTAACCAGGTGATCAGGTTTTAATTTTTTGCGGTAACGAAAGAAATCCTCAGGGAGGACGCTTAACGGTTGCACGTTTGAACTTACTATCTTACTGCCAAATATAGATTAAAAAAGTATCATAGTGCAACAGAGTTGAAAGAAGAAAGAATTGAAAGCGTTGGTCCAGGGAAGTACTGCCATCTTAACTATTTACAATACAAAAAGTTCTGCCGCCAAGCAGTAACGTGAGCATTATTACGTTCCGGTTTTGAAGGGTAAGGTGAAATTACAGGCGCATGGTACTCGTCAACTTATGTCTCAGTGTGGCGGGCGCAGTGGCAGTGCCCCTCAGATCTTTGCGACTTAAAGCTCTGAGTGTACAGAGAGGCGTGTCGCTTACCACCACGACTTGTTCGTTCCATCACTTGATATCATAACAAAAAACAACTAAAATGTTTTGTAAAAAGTCGTGGAACAAAAATTATTATTTACATGACTAATATGGTCCTGCGAGGTTGTGAGTATATTACAAATAACGCTGTAGTATGTAATACTATATAATAGAGCAATACTATATGCGGTAAATACGGTGTGGTTTTTCAATCAAATATATTAAGTGGCATATCATTACCATGGGTTATTTATTATTATTTTCGTTATTTGTACTACATCTATGGAACTCAGGAGCTCCGCATAATAGAGCGTGAATGTCGCCCGGATGAAGTGTTTGAATTGGATTGCAACATGTGTCGGTGTAACCCCGATGGAAAGTCTTTTTCTTGCACACGTCGAGCCTGTATAGAACCAGTTGACGAACTAGTGAAGGTTTGTATAAATATATACATTTTATTCATTTTATGTTCAGGTATTTTAGGCCCATCGAGTATGTAACCAGAAACAGAGACGAAATGTCATTTAATTTGTTTGAAAAGTATTCTGCCAAATCCTTACTGTGACAATTGCGCTCCGATTGGTCAGCCTGAATTCGAAACAATTGACGGATGTCGTCAATTGTTTCACTTCAAAACGACCAGTTTAACTTGAGGTTTGCTATAATGGACGAAAATTGCAAAATTACATATTTAATATTTTATTACCGATGAAATGTGATTCCGTTAATGTTGTAATTAGACGTTTAACTGTTTTTCCCACACTACCGAATGGAATAGCTCCCATTGTTAAATATATTATCTTTATTACAATAAATACAGAATATTTTTGGAATATACGGAGACGTACACACAGGTCAGTTGTTGGTGCTGTACCATTTAAGTTTTCTAATTTGTGATTTCAGCGCAAACGAGTTGATATTTAAAAGTGATAAGGTCCATTTACCTGATGAGTTGTCAGGGATGAATGGCCTTTATTTCGTCCCTGTTTCTGGTTATATACTCGATGCTAAGGCCACTCAATTGCTTTTTGCAGAAATGGTGCTGGGATATGCTATCATTTAATAGTTTCGCTATATTGAAATGGTAACATCAAATTTTCCACATAAGTCTCTCCTTTAAAACTGCTTCAGAAAAAAGCTGTTAGTATCTTTGATAGATTTGATGCGTGTTGTCTTGGACTTTTCTTTTGCTTTGTCTTCTTGTTGATCTACGATCTTTTCTTCTCGGTGGCAAGATTTGATTTATTTGTAGTTTTCTGTTTTTTTTTCTCTGGTGGCTGTTGGTGGTTTTAACATCCTCGTTCAAATGTACCATTTCACATTTTCTTAGACACAAGTTCCTCACATTTTTCTGTATTACTTGTGTACAATAAGCAAGCTTTATTAGTTATATTTAATATCGATTAATAGATCGATGGGTGAGGCTAGTGCAAGATCGTGGTGAACTGCACAAATTACGGATGGATTATTCCCATAAGTGGGTGAAGTCGGGCTGAGGATGATTATGATGCAATAAATTGAAAGTAATATTTTTTTACACGACGACGACGACCTCGGTGGTCTAATGGTTTACATTGTAGGCGCTGGCTGTGGAGGTCCCGGGTTCGAGTCCCGGTAGGACTAATTTGGGAAATGAACTATTCTAAATTGAGTTCTTAGGTTTTCGCGATTGTTACACATAGGAAATGAAAAAACAAATATACGCGATTTCAATCCGGAAAAATAGTTTCATTTCCTATTCTAATTTGGTTCAGGTCTGGGTGTTTCGGGAAGTGCTCCAGAGTGCATTCCGTTGCTCTGGACCTTATAGTGCAGGGAATTCCCTGGTTTGAGACCAGGCAATTGGTGTGGGTGTGTGGCACATATTACATTATTATCATAGTTGTAAATATACCATTTAGTTTAATTTTAGTTTTTTATCGACTTCAAAAAAGGAGGAGGTTTTCGATTCGATTTTTTTTTGTATGTATGTGACGTCATAACTCCGGCATTGATATTGGTGGTTATTTTTTTGGTGGAAGGAGGGTACCTCAGTAGTGGTCCAATTAAACTTGAAGAAAATATTCCGCCTCTAAGGGTGGCAAAATAGGGGATGAATGACTTTTGAGGTCAGTTTTTGTAGTACTCTGCACTGAGATTGTATTTGATATAGATATTTGATATATAAATTGTATTTCAAATAATATAATCCACATAATCAATCTTACGTTATTTGTCTCTTTTCAGAAGTCTACATTGTCACGGAAGACCAGAAATTCCAAGGTAAAATATTTTGAAAAATATTATACGTTTTTAACACACAGTAGCAGTATCTATATCACTATATCACCATGTTACACACCACCATATCACCAGGAAATATACATTCAATAAGATTTTATTCAGGAAAATTCTTGTTTCGCATATACTCGTTTTTTGCAGAACGAACAAGCCGGATCAAAAAAGAACTGCCTCCCGAACCAAGAGTTTCGCATGGACTGCAACAAATGCCTCTGCGACCCGGCTGGGCTGGACTTCTCCTGCACCAGGATCGACTGCTACCAACTCAACAATAACAATCAAGCTGAGACTAGAACTAGAAGAGGTTAGCAGTTGATCAAACTGTTCTAAAATAGATACGTATCGCTACTCTAGTACCGATACGTATCGAGATGAAAACTCTAGTTTCGGGAATAGGGGTGTCGAAAATTTCTAAATTTCGAGTCTCGACTATTTTTTGACGTTTTCGACACTTGAGACTGAGTTTCGAGAATATCGAGACTTTTCAGATTAAAATCGCCCCATTAAACAGTATAACAAAATCTACTAACCAATAGTCATTTTTTAGTCTGGTTACATGGACATAACACTGTAGAATGGAACTGAGTATATATATAATCTAAGAAAATATAATAGAATTTTTGATTTTATAATTTGATATAATTATCGAACATTCAGAAAAAATCCTTCGATCCAGCCGGATTCGAACCGACGTCTTCTAGCATACCGTGCCAGACGCTACTTTTTCTTATATTTTTCTTATTTAGTTCCGTGCCAACTAAGTCACGGAACGAACCAGCGGACCTCACGAATTTTTCTAAGTGCTTGCGTCGTAACTTTGTATTTGGTTTTTCAACGACTTTTTAGCCGTAGCGTTTTTTGAGTGTTCGATCTTTGTATTAATAATTATAACAAACTAGTGGAGTCATTTCACATAAAACAATTGAATATCAATTCAGTAAAAAATTATATACAATGAATAGCGACATCTCCAGTTGGGGCTGGTAGCTGTAAAGGTGATCTAACTGGGTGACGAAATATCATAGATTGCTCATAGATGGCGCTACGGCTAATAATTTGATTAAAATCCAATGTTCTAACTGTGTAAACGCCTAGCCTATGAGTATCGAAACCTCTTAGACTACATATTTCAGAAGTGAATTAGTCTGAGACTGGAGGTCTGCTCCCGTTCTCCGCGGGAGTAATTGTTTCGGTTGAGTAATCTCAACGAAAATAAAAGACATTGCCAAAGATGAATCGTCATTCGCGTCATGCGACTTTTCATTTGGTCGAGTATTACTCATTTTACAGTAATTGTTTCAGACGGAGAACGAGAGTACAGGGCCAGCACAGAGTCTCGACTTTTTTACCCGGGACGCTGCTGATATGTAGCGAGGCTGAAAGCTCTAATAGGCACCTAAGTAATTTAATGTAGCTTGACGCAGTCTGTTGTTGTCACCTGAGTCTCGATTTATGGGTTGCTGCGTAAAACAGTGTTGCTTTAGTTGTAATCAAAACGTTATTCACTTTTAAAAGAAGTATATCGATCAACTCTGTGTACTCAGAGTATTCAGTTATACATTTTAATTTATTATTGTCGATATTGTAATGAATCGAGTGTTATGTCTCCTGCTTTTTTTTTGTAAAATACAATTTGCATTATATTCTTTCAGAGGCAACAAGCCCAGATCAGGAATGTGTCCCAGGCACCAAGTTCAAGATGGGTTGCAATACGTGCCAATGTTCCTTGGACGGCAAAGTCGCTATGTGTTCTGTTGCCAACAGGAATAGAATTAAGAGAGGTAATTATCAATTGTTGTAATATTGCTTGTATAGTGTAGAATATTTATTTGAAATAAAATTATGCCTTTATGTAAATCTGGAAGTGGGTTAAATACATATATTCAATCACAGGTTAAGTTAAATGCAAATTAGAACACAAATTACGTTTTGTAACGTACTTCTGATTATATGAATCATTGTTTCTATGTATCCCATTTTGGGATTTTTCGGAAAATATATTTAAAAACCCAGATTATACAATAAACAAAAACTTAACTGCATTTTAAAATTCGTGCTAGATTCTCATCAAAATAAATCATTATGTAGATCATAAACGATAAAATGTAAATGTAATTTACATTTCAGAGACAGGACCGCCTCCGGCAGATGACTCTAAAAACTCTCAGAGTGAACAACTTCCTGAGACAAGTATAGGAGAAAAGAAAGAGCAGACAAGTGAGGTTAAAGTAGAAGCAAAAAGCGTCGTCACTACATGTAAGTATTTTGAAATGTTTGTGCTTTACCATATAACGACTTGTATCCTCTCTTAATGCTGAAGAATTTTCAATAATTAATTTCTTCTAATGACAGCAAGAGCATTGATATTAAATGTCACAACTAGGTACCGACTTCAGACCGAGATGAGATTGAGGTCATTTGTGCGACTGTTCGGCCGACGGCACATTTATTATTATTATATTTTATCTTTATTTCTAGCGACCGAATCAGATCCAAATTTCCGCTGCAACCCCGGAGAACAATTCAAGCGTGGCTGTAACGATTGTTCCTGTTCTGCCGACGGGAAGAGTTTCTTTTGCACCGTCCGCTTCTGCGACCAGGACATCACACCACCCACATCACGCTAACAGACCAAGAATGGCGAAACTATCTTTAACATCAATCTTTTCATCTGTTTTGTTAACTTTTCAATTTAGTATCCATAGTACAAAGTTTAGTTTCGCCTATTATTTGTACTTTGTGAGCTATGACAAAAATGACAACTTATTAGATTGAAGATAATTAATCTCCATTATAAATACTTGAACGTAAATGAATGAATATCTTTTTCAATGAAAAATTCTGCTTAATGTTAATATCTAATTCACTTATTTTTAGTAAAGCAGTTTCAAGAACGATTCAATTAATGTCATACATGTAGATATTTCCATTTAAGTTTTTAACGTGGATGGATTATGGGGTTTTTACATTTTTTTTGTATTTTTTATGTGTATGTCTTGTTTCTTTCGTTCATCATCTAATTTGTGATCAACGTTAGTTTAGTATTATTACTTTTTATTGATTTCTATGGTGTTTGAAACAATATGTAATATATATAAGTAACTAACATTCCTTGCTCCATTCAAAAATAGATAGAACAAAGTTTTATAAAAATTTGAATAGTTGGTTTATCCTAACGTATTTCTTTTAGTACTGTAATCTTATTGTATGGATTTTATTGTTATATTCATTGACCTGTGGTAGGTCAATGGTTGTATTGCAAACTTTGTAATTTCACAATCACTTGCAAGTCACGATTTATAAGCCGAATTACATTTTATGTTCCTTTTATGTAAAATTTAGTTTATTTTGCCTTTTATAATTATTGTAACTAATTGTCTATATGAGATCGTAGTATAGTGCTTTTAAGATTGCAGTAATTATGTGCTTAAGTATTTCTTTATTTGTGACACATTTACTTATCAAAAAGTACAATCGTCAAATTATCAAATATTATAATAGTATTAAAACTTTTATTTGCTAAACCATAACCTTTTTATGTTTTATGTTTATACGCAGTTATTTAATTCATTTCACTATGTATATATTTACATAAACATATACTTACCATAAGAGATTCGATACGATCATGTGCATTTTAGTACAAAGAGTTTGGATGTGCTTTTGACAATGTAAGTTAGACAAATATCAGAATATTATCTGCTTTTATAGCTAGTGTTTAGAAAATAAATTGTTGGGATTAAGTTAATAATTTGAGAAAGACGTAGTTATGATTTTAAAATAAGGTACTATGTTTTAGTCTATAACAATCGATTCCCCCAAGGAGATACTCTAGGTCCTAAATTGTTTTTACTCTATTTTGTAAGCATTGGAATGGTTGTTTTCATATTGTAATACTTTTCGCGTTAGTGTATAAGAATGCTCGGCTAAGTTGTGATTGTGTGTCTAATTCAATTCTTTTTCATGATATTGGTTTTGCTTCTTATCGTGCTATTTTAATAAAATCGTTAGGCTTTTACCGTAATTTTTTTCACTATGTAGATACTGTTTTTATAAATTAACTGTCGTTTATAGTTTCGGAGTCTATAGGAATACTAGCGAATTGTTCTCAAAACAAATAAAATATTTTTATCGGTGCCATCGGATGCGGCTCTAAAAAGTGAACGATATTGTTTTAATTAATATCTAACTGTAGTTCTGACGCTAACATGGTGTGGGATTTTAGTATTAGTTAGTGAATTGTTATCGATAAACAGTACGAATGGACGTACCTTGTATTAGATAATTATACTTAACATGAGGATTAAATGATTGATTTTAAAATTTTATTTCATTTGTACAATAAATAGGTCTAGCCCCCACCGGACAGTGTATGTGTTGTAGTTGTACAACTTTTCCCTACTGCCACCAGAATCTTCCAGAACAGTTGCATCAATTTTGTATCGCCTTTAATTTGTTATTATGCTAACTTAATAGGTTTCTGCGACAATGCAGACATTGACTTCAATCTATGTAATAGAGCCTTAACGCTCAAGTTTTATAGGAACAGACTTTGGTCTTCCATTGTTTTTTATGTTTCTTGCAATTCTCACCAGTCACCTGACAGTCATTTAGGCGCTGCGCAAACGTAAATATTTCGTTGCTGACACAAGATACCATCACAGAAAATCATGGTAGCTGTGTCACCGATTTCTACTTCTGGACGGTGACAGTTCAGTGCTTGAATTCGCACATTAGTGTCATAATGGGTGTCAATGATAAAACGTTTATTTTGCTTGTTGCGATGATTATACGTCAACGCAGAAGTCGTCGTCAAGACTTAGAGCATTTGCGCACTATTTCTGATTCGTATCAGCAGTTCCGAATCCGAGAAATAGCGGTCCGAAATGGCACAGATGTCCAAAATGCATCATCTCATGTCGCTTCATCTCTATGTGCACAAGCGACATCCGACGTGGGTTGGACTTTTCTAGATTTGTACCTATAGTCTCGGACTCGAAACGAATATCAATCGAATAGAATGCGCAAACTCGCCAGCAGGCAAATCAACGATGTCAGTTGCGTGCCAAATGAAAGCAACTGGAAACTAATCTTGGGTCAGCGCATATAGTAGTCGATGTCATAAATATAGTACGTATTCACTACTAATTACCAGTTGTTTGTATCCAATACAAGCCATTAAAGTTAAGCCTGATTGTTCTGACAAACAGTCGTTGCAACGCTTGTCCGACACGGCTTCCTTTCGTATTTTATAGAATATACTATATACCCAGTACGTAAATACCTAAACCTAAATATATAGGTACCTAATTATAATTTTAAAATTAATGACCTACTTCACCTAATCATCTACCAGTAATTTGATTGCCCATAATTCTTATAATTGCGAAGCACTAATAAAGGTTTAGCTTCACGTTCATATGATTAACGCTAATTAGAATTTAGCATTTGGTCGAAGAGTTTCTTTCAATATGGCGGCTTGCGCTGTTTTTCTCAGCTTGGCTTTTATTTTGGGAATCGAAACCAATGCTGTTTCTTTGAAGCTTTCTACGTTTCGTAAGTACTTTTCTTTGATCATGTATTGTGATTGAATTCTCTAGCAATCAAAGACGCCGTTTTGATTGCTAGCAATCAAAGACGCCATTTTGATTGCTAGCAAAAGTATAAGGAAAATAGCGCGATTATAATTGGGAGAACAAGTAAAATTTGCAGTTTATTACAAATATGATTAATATGACTTTTATTTATTACTATATACGTTCTACAACTTATTGTAGACAAATAAGCTTTTCATCTAAATAATTTTCTATCTCATCCTTATTTCTTTCAATTATTTTTTTATTTTCACCGTTTCATTCTAAGTTTATAAATGATTAATAAGTATCGTTCTGGAGAAAGTTTCATTAATTCGAATAAAAATAATCAAAGGGATAACAATACAAATACAGATATTAACATTTTCAAATTATAAATATTATTGGGAATTAAATTATATTTGTTTTTCGATCGCTTCTATTTCAAACAAAACGTTGGTAACATTTCGGGGTCTTTACTGGTTTCATGATCACGGCTGACTGAGATGGTAAAGTCTTGTAAGACTTATGTCAAATAAATTAATTCAAATAACCATATTCTGAACGATAATTACAAAACTTATTAATTAGAATACCGTATTTCTAATTTACTAAAGAACATTCCAATCTACGCTATATTTGCAAAATACTGTATTTTATACATTTCGACTCATCCGTAGAACAAAGATCTATGTGCAAAACTACTTGTTCTCAGGACGCAATATATTTCGTTCGTTCTTCTTCGCTGTGGATGTTAGATCGACAGTTGTTCGATTTTATGTTTCCGAAAGGAACTAAGATATATACATTTTCAAAACACATTTACAAAGACCTTAGTTTGAATAACGAAATTATTCTCGTAACGTAGTTATTCTCTTTTCGCTATACAGGCTGTATATTTGAAAGTGGTACATACTTATAGAGTGCGTTATATTCCTGATTCTGAACCCAAAGAAATAATAAACTAATGAACTTAAACTTTACAAAAAATATTTTTTTAATTTTTTTTTATCGACTACTACTTGAGAACTACATTAGTTATCGAAATCTATGCACATCACTATTATTGCTCCGATGCAGCGGCGGGTGGCGGCACGGCGGTGAAAAACAAAGCACAGGTCGGGGGTGGCGGCGCGGGCGCATATGCGAAATTGCTCAGTGCACGCGCGACCTTGATCTAACGAAGACACGTAAATTATTTGTATTGCCGTTCGCCCGATCGCCGCAAAATGGATCTTTATTCTAACGTCGAATTGACTGAGATGGTGCGACTTTACGCAATAAGTGGTGATAGTGTGAGGCAAGCTATTGAAATGTTCCCAAATCGGAGTTTGCGCGGAAGAGGTGAACAGTGTCGAAGTATTGCGTGAGAGGATTATCTCAGCATTTTATACTGTGAGACAAAATGTGTTTGTGTTGTACAATTTAAAACAAAATTCACTATGCCTTGCTAGACTATGCATTGTGGAAAACGGTGGACATTTTGAACATATTTCTCAATTCTTATTAAATGATATCTAGTTACTAAATCATAAACTTATCTTTTTTAGTACGTAAAACATTTCGATGACAGTTCAAGTAAAAAATAATAAAAAATATTGAACATAAGCTAAAACATAAATGTGAAATCATTGTTATTGTTGCTGTCTCACTCGGCGCTCGCTTGGTAGTATTCGCATAACACTCGAAATCAAGCGTAAAGGTATACGGTTTATTCCTATGTACACTTCAAAACACATTTGTTGATTTATTTTTTGTTCTATCCCATATCCTAATTTTATTTTAGTCGATGTTAAATTGTAACATGTTTTACTATGACATGTATTAATATGTCTCACTTTCAAATATACAGCCTGTATAATCACATCGCACTCTGTTCTTCGGATGCATTGACTTACAAATAAATGGACGATGGGTCTAATACAAAAAGCACGAAAAAAATGTCCCAAGTCAACCTATTTAAACGCAGTGACATGTAAAGGAATATGAAAAAGCAATATTCGGATGAGTCGATTTTTTTTTGCTAAATTAAAAGGAAATTAGAAATGAAAATAAATGATAATGTCTATCTACATAAATGTAGTATCAATGAAAGTAGTTTTGTAACTAGAGTTCAATAGGGTGGATTGCAATAATATGAGATAAAACTGGTTGATGGACTTTACTATCTCAGTCTGCTGTGATCATGGAACCTATAAATAAAGGAATATTCCTACGTGTTCGATCTTTGTATATTAAATTATGACATACTAGTAGAGTCATTTCACAAAAATAATTGAATATAATGGTGGTCAAACATCGTGACATTCAATAAAAAACTTAAAAAATTACATTTATTAAAGCGACATCTCTAGTTAGTCGCTGGTACCTGGTAAAGTAAAGAAATAGATTTCTCACAGATGGCGCTACAGCAAATAAGTCGTTAAAAACTAAATGCAAACATCTGCAACTAGCATATAGAATTCGTAAGATCCGCTAGTTCGTTCCATATCATATTGTCTGACATGGTTTAGAATATAAGACTGTATGATGTGGATTTAAATCCAGCCGAATCGAAGAAAATTTTTTGTAAGTGTTCGATCTTTGAAGAAATTGTTATATTTCCAACAGCCGCGAAAACCTAAGAACTAGCAAAATTTTTTTGTGAAATGTAGAGTCTACATTGGAGATGTATCCGTGCCGATAAGAGACCACCTTGAGCTATTTGGTCTGGCCTTATCATCCAACCTCAACTTTGGGCGATACATCGAGTGCTTGACAAAAACTGCTGCCAGTAAACTGGGCATACTTTACAAGGTCAGGCGGTACTTCACACCTGAACAGCTTTTAAATCTGTATAAAGCACAAGTTCGGTCCTGTATGGAGTACTGCTGCCACCTTTGGGACGGCTCTACCCATTACCAGTTATCTGCCTTGGACTCGGTGGAGTGAAAAGCAAATGAGACTTATTAACAATAATTCTCTTGTGGAGTCGAAGCTTCAAAACCTCGACCATCGCAGAAAAGTAGCCTGCTTGTCGGTTTTCTATCGGATACATTTCGGGGAGTGTGCGCAGGAACTTTTCAATTTGGTTCCGCCCTCAACGTTCCTCCTTCGGTCGACTAGAAGGTCCGGAGCACTCCATTCTTATGTCGTTGATATTCCACCTATTCGCACTAAGCGCTTTGCTTCCTCCTTTCTGATGCGTACGGCAAAGGAGTGGAATGCTCTACTAATAATCTGTATTTCCCGAAAAGTACAATTTAGGGCTATTCAGGGCTAGAGTGAATAGGCATTTTTTAGGCAAACGCATCCCATTGTCGGTCACATCGCCGCTTAACATCAGGTGAGATTGTGGCCATGCGTGTGTCTATAATATATTAAAAAAAACATTACAAACCAATCACCAATATGTAACAACACTCACGGCTTCAGAAACAACTAATCCTAGGAGTATTATATGTATTACCTATATTCCCAGCCTGACATTCTAATTTTTATATTGTGTAAATAACGACTGCGAAAAATCTAAATAAGTTTACGTACACTGCTTTGTATAAGTAATTGTAAGGTTTAAAGTGAATTAAATAGATTAAAAAAAGGTCTGAGGCGCAATGAAACAACACATACTATTGCGAGTAATAGCTGTACCGAAATCAGTAAAAGCCCATCATAATTATGCCGTCGGCAGTAACATCTTACAAGAAGTGCTTACCGACGTCTGTGGAACGAGGCCCCTGTCACACCTGTATCTGCACTGAACACGGCTACTACAATTGTATCCCGTTATTCGAAAGCACCTGCAAGAACGAACAACTTAAAACCAAAGGTAAGTATTACTAACCATTGGATCAAAATAGTCAAAAAAAAGCCAAAAAGGAATATAAATATATTAGAGGAGAACCAAAAGCAGAGAAGCAGTAGAGCTCCTTGTGAAAGAGTTCGTCCAGGGTAGTACTGCCACCTTACATATTTCTGTTGCCAAGCAGTAATGTCAGCATTACTGTGTTCCGGTTTTGAAGGGTGCTAGTGAAATGACAGGCACATGGGACTTGTCAACTTATATTTCAGGGTGACGGGAGCAGTGGTGGTGCCCTTCAGATCTTTGCAATTTAAAGCTCTGAGTGGCACTGTAACTGTTATGGACAGGAGTGTAGTTTACCATCAGGCGCACGACGTTGGCGACGCGAAAAAACGAGAACGGTGCCTAGCTGTGAGACGTGTAATGTGTTGTTGATCATGAGGTCAATATTACAGTAATTGGTCCAATTAGTAAATTTAAACCTTGGTGAACCTATCCAATTTCCATTCATATTTTTTTTGGATGATCCCAATTGCTCAACGATCGCCTTTTTACTTACAGATATCTCTAATATTCCAACTAAAAATATTTGGATTCAAGAGTACCTACAGTGTAATGATTATATAATTCTCAATGTGAAACCAAGTTGTTACTAGGGTGCGAAATTGCTTTACCGTGTAATTGCTCTTACACATCAAAATAGATTATTTTCTGTTACAGATATAATACACAATCATAAAAATTCATGTAATGCACAAATGAGATACGTTCAAGGAAATTTAATATGTACATGTTCTAAAAATGGAGAATGGATGTCTGGGAATTGCATGAAAAATTTTCAGTACCTAAAATCCGTACATCATCTACGAAAAGGCAATTACGATGGTTTAGCACATGCCAACTTTACATGCACTCCAGAAAAATATTATTTGGTTGAATGCAATGTGTGCTTGTGCCCTGTAACAGGCAAAATGACAGCAGATAATTGTACAAAAAGGTATTGCAAAAAAGGGTACAAATCTGAATCATGCAAACCGGGTCAATTTTTGCGATTACCAAATGAGATTTGCACTTGTAGTGCAAATGGATATTACATTGATCGCCTGTGCTTAAAAATTGCCAACTTCCGAATCCAAAGAATAATTGACAAGGAATTAGCAGTGATCTCTGACACATCATCGTTGCGAAGTCAAATAATGGGGAACGAAATTTGCCAAAAGAATCAGATATACCAATCAGATTGTAATTTCTGTCATTGTAATAATGTTGGGGTTTTTGTCTGTACGTCTAAACTGTGCACAGTTGATAGCCCAAGGAAGTCGTTGAGATATAGTATGAGCACTGGAGGTCCCAAAAATAATGCTGGTGCAATACAACTGCCAGAACTTGAAAAGTTGGACCAGAAATGTGAGCCCGGAGTGCGATATCGACACAAATGCAATAAATGCCAATGTTCAGCGAATGGCGTTCCAATTTGCACCACCATGCTATGCGTTGGAGATTTTACCTTGACAAAAATGACTAATACACAAACCACAAGAGCCAATAAATAAACTTAGAATGATATTTTTTACTATTGTCGAATTTTGTTTCATAGATTAAGAGATTTTATTGTTATTTCATTCCCTACTCTTTAGTAGCTTTTTCTGTTAAGACCCTCTTTCTGACTCTCTTTTGATTTGAGAGTACAGTGTTCATTTGTAATTTAATATTACTATACTTTTGTTCGTTTTACATTTAAAAAACTTTTCAGTTCTATAATCTGTGTGTAAATGTGAACTCTTGTAGTTAGTATTGTGATACCCATGACTAACTTGACATAATTTTAGCCAATGATACCACTACCACGATCAATACGAAACCTAATATTCAAGACATTCGAGACATAAAAGAAGGCGAAAATTGCACTCAAGGTCAAGTATACAAAGTCAATTGTAATACATGCCGTTGCGGTCCATCCAATCGTCTTATTTGTACGAAGAAAGCTTGTCTAAGCGATGACGAAAAGGTAAAATTGGAACTATTGAAGAAGAGGAAATATCAATATCCGAAAACAAAGAGTGATTTGCCTGAGCTGCCGACCACAAAATGTGTACCAGGAAAATTGTACGCAAAAGGCTGTCAGCGTTGCTTCTGCAATGATAAAAAGATTGGAGTGTGTACGAATAAAGCTTGCGTTGATATAGCAGGTACGAAGTTATCACATGTTTCTTATCTTTTTAATATTAGTTCAGTAGCCATAATACTATGTTGAATATGGTAATGCTGCTAAAAACGCATCGCAAGTTTGGTTGATGCTCAATATTAAAATTCCAATCGCAAAATCAATAATCTAATCATTTATTTCTCAGGAACGCCGATTCTAGGTCCAGAAGATGTTAGTCCTTCGATATCAGAGTCAGATTTCAAAAAACTTACAAGTTTGCCCAATGAAGCGACCAAGTGCGTGTCTGGCAAAACCTATAGAGTGGATTGCAACCCGTGCTTATGTTTGGCTAACGGCAATCTTTTATGCTCCAAAATGCTTTGTTTGAGTATTGACGATGTGAATCGAATTAAGGCTTCAAAGGCATCAGGTTAGTTTTCATTACTTTTAAGCTTTGGTAAGTTTTAGTATAATATATCTAGAAACTTTGTCTCTGTAGGTATGCGCCATTATGCTATACTGTTCTTGTAAATGTATCACAATCTGTAAAGGTCTTGTTTTGAATATTATATATTCACTTAAGTGCTTTATTGGAATTTAAATTGCTTGAATGTATCATGATAATCTATTTCTCAGTTTCTCGAATATTTACATTCGACTTACTTAATTTAGCTTTTAAACATCAACAGCAGCAACAGCAACTATATTATTATAAGATTACAGTATAATAAATTATTATTTTATGATGCCTAAAACATGGTTCACTAATTAACTGGATGGCATTTGAAAAATTTTCAGGGACACCCTGTTCACCATTAGAGAAAACAAAAGTCGATTGTGCCCAATGTACCTGCGTGGAAGGAAAAATGAAATGCAGTCCTATACCCGAATGTTTTCCCACCTCGTTGCGTCGACAACTTAACACTATGTCAGGCAGCTTGAGATCCAAAATTGCGCTTAGGCTGGAGATTGACACGTGTATACCAAATATGATTTACAAGTACGTTTCTTATTGCTAGAATGCCATAAGCTTAAGGGAAGCAAATACTATCAACACAAGGACAAAGTTTTTGCTTTCCTTGGGCAACAGGTACAGAAAGGGATTACAGTACAGAAGGGAACCCATTGGGATCGGAATTATGTACTATACTTTACAATGTTGTGCATAATGTAAAGTACGCTTAAATCTCCTATTGAGAATTTTATGTGAATACCCACGTATTGGACCAATGCAGACTTGTCCCTTATCTCTCGAGACGTGCTCGTTCAGAGTACTTCTTAATCTTTATTTTCCCATTTTCAGCTTTGATCAAGTTTTTTATTACAAGATCTGTGTCAGAATATTCTTTATAATATAGGTAAGGTTTAGTAGTAGTAGAGCTCCTTGTGAAAGAGTTCGTCCAGGGAAATACTGCCACCTTACCTATTTCTGCCTCCAAGCAGTAATGTCAGCATTACTATGTTCCGGTTATGAAGGGTAAGGGGTGCTGGTGAAATTACAGGTACATGGGACTTGTCAGCTTATATCTAAGGGTGACGGGCGCAGTGGCAGCGCGCTTCAGATCTTTGTGATTTAAAGCTCTTAATGGCACTGCAACTGTTATAGACAGGCGTGTAACTGACTATCAGACGCAGAACTTGTTCATCCCGTCAGTTGATATTATAAAAAAAAGGAGTCACGTTGATTTCTAAATGCTTTAAAGAAGTTTTTATATAGCAACATACTTATTACGGTAAGGCGATTCTCATACTACTCCGCACCACACACGCGAGGTGGCGCGGTGGTGGCTTCGCGCGGGAGCAGCAATACTGCGGCCCCGCGCCACTTAGGGATCGCTCCCTCTAAAGATCTAGCAGATACACGTTTACTGCGAAGTGCACTGTGAAATACTGCGAGGACCCTGGAGGCGGCGAAAGGCGCGCGCGCCGCGCTCCCGCCCGCACGGAAAAGCGTTGTAAGTGTGTTGTAAGACGCGTGTTTTCTATTCAAACTAAGATACTTCGGTACAACGTTAAAAAGCGCAGCTCTGCACACCGCTGCGTCACGCGAAGCAGTGTGAAAGAGGCCTTAGATAGCAAAAAGTTTAAAATTGTTTTGAACATTTGCAGTACACTCTTTTTGGCTGTGTCATAGTGAAAATGTGAATATGAGACAGTTGTTCTCTTCATCTCTTCTATACATAATTTTGTTTTCAGGCATAAATGCAACAATTGCTATTGCCAAATGGACGGTTCCCTGCGTTGTACCAAAAAAGGTTGTCTCAACTACCAACAAGTCCAGAAACTGGAGAAACAAAGACAGAAGCTATTGTATAAAAGCAAAGGCCAATAAGGGTTGAAAGACTCAGCTACGATATCATTGCGTAGGAAAATTTTTGCTTAAATATTTTGTGTTACTTTTTGATAATGGTTGTTTTCAATTATTTACCGTAAAACCTAGAACTTAAGTCACTTGAACGTCTCTATGGTCTTTATATATATGTAGGTATATTAAAATTATGTAACTTTCTTTCACACATTACATTATATTATAATAATTTTCTTCCTAAGTGTGAATTTCTGTGAAATGTATTAAGTTAGAGATAGTATTTTTCAAGAAATAAACGACATGGCTATGTAATATGGACTTGAGAATTGACAATACTATAGTTATAAGTGTCTACAAAGCAAAATGATGTAATGAAAATAAATCAATGCATATATGAATCGTCTGTTATTATTTACATAGTATTTGAAACTACCTACTAATTAACTCTTCTCAATGTCTCGAAAATTGAGGAGTACCTTGAAAACATTGGGAAGTAAAGAAATATGTTCAAAACATCATAATATTCATTATATTAATGAGATCAAGGTAATTGGTACCACTTGCAAGCTAAATTGATTTCTACGAGTGCTCAAAATTCTTACACAAGTCTAAAGTAGTAAAAATCCTGTGATTACGTAATTGAAGTGATAAAAATTGAATATGCCAATTGGAATCACAAAATAATTTCTACGTTACACAACAAATCATTCCGATTTTTCAATTAATTGAAGAATTTTATAACTCTCTCAGCAATAAAAGAGGAGAAAGAAATTAAAAACACCATTTGGAAAGTTACATTTTAATGGCTTACTAGCCTATGAAGCGTGTAATTAAGTTTTAACATTAATATTTAAGTAAAAATCATCGAACAATTTTAATTTAGATTTAAATAATAAGATGATCGTGATATATCTAATTATACTGTCGCGATTTTCGTCTGTGATGTCTGGATTACGTAAGTCCTTGTTTGTCTTCCCATTTCGCCATCTTTTTTTTAATCTTCGTTTTTTTACATTTTAATTTGCTGAACAGGTGCGTGCGTGCCGCATTCTCAATTTCTTGTGGCTGGAAAAATTTGCAAGTGCAATAACTTAGGGCATTGGAACGAAACGGATTGCCTCGCCGTCGGTCGGAAGAACAATTGCCATGCAGGAGAGGTCATCCGGCAAGGCTGTAAAGAGTGCATTTGCCAATCAAACGGCCAATTCAATTGCACTAGAAGCAATTGTACTGATGTGAGCTCCTCCGCTGTGAAAGCTGTCCAAAGACTACACACAGTGATGCCATGGTGCAATCCTTTCAGATCTTACTACATCAACTGCAACATTTGTGTATGCCCACCGTCAGGTAGAGCGGCGCAGGCACACTGTGCTACAGATGTCTCTTGCTCGCTACATAGAGAACCACGAGTATCCGATTTTTCTACATCAAGAAACATTTGCATTCCCAAAGTCATGTACCTTTTCCCTTGTCTTCATTGCCTATGCACTGATGAAGGGTTTTTTGTTCTAGAAAAATGCTTTGAAACTTGCTTAGCGAAGCCATCCATAGAATCATCGCGCAGATGTATACCGAAAACATTTTACAGACAAGATTGCAATGTTTGCAAGTGCCCAGATAATAGTATACCAGATAACTCTTTCTGCACAAAATCAGTATGTAACCAAACTATAGTGCTGAGTACTTTAAGCGATTTAAGGGGCACATCACAGCAATGTCTCTCACATCGGTTTACGAATCCCAGATGTTATTATTGTGAATGTAGTGCTGAAGGAACTATAAATGAAACGGCGTGTCTGGAACATGATTGCTTCAAAATTAACGAATACAAGTATGATGTTGCCAAAGACACATGCATTCCCGGAGAAATAGTCCCTAAGTGTACTGAATGCTTATGCCTACGCAACGGAGTCACCTCACATGACTATTGTTCGTCAACTTGCACATATCAAAGTAAACTAAATGTCTTAGAAAAGATTGTGGATGTAGAAAAAGAGCAAGATATTATAGACAAAAAAGGAATTACGAGGAGTTCAGGAGACGATATATGCGATCCTAATTCAATTTACACGGATTTGGGACGGTACTGTTTATGTCCTGAAAATGGTAATACAAATTTTAATTTGTGTACTTCTGCTGATGATTCTGTTATATCAGGAACTACTGCTCCAAGTGTTAAAGTTAATATAAACTTCAACGCGACCTGTGAACCGAACACTTTTATTGACTTTGATTGTAACACTTGTTTCTGCTCCAAAAAAGGAAAGATTGATCCGAAGTGGTGTACGTATGACGACTGTGAATCTAAAAAAATGATAATGAAGTCGCATGAAACTCAAAATATTATGGCTCCTGATATAGATATGAACGACACATGTACATCTGGATCGATTTCACAAGTTGATTGTAATTTCTGTATTTGTCCCGAAAGTGGATACATGGAAAAGAAAGTCTGTACAAAAAACGATTGTTCATCCTTAGGCAAAACTATTAATAGTGATAGATTTGTTTGCGAACCATTAGCTTATTACGAAGTCGATTGTAATATATGTTATTGTCCTCGCGATGGATTGAAAAATGTGGCTAGATGTACAAAAAATCATTGTGAGAAAAGTTTTCTTCGATCAGACGTTTGCGTTCCTGGCCAATTGTTCAGTGAAGAGTGTAATGTCTGCGTATGCCCACCTAATGGCAATAAAGCGGAGAGAGCTTGCACGAATAATACTTGCGCCGACAGCGCGCCTTGGAAGAAAATATTTCAGTTATCACAAAGTCTGATTAGCAATCAAATTCCCGAAGATGCGACACGCAATTTGGATCTCTGTTTTCCTGGTGAAGAGTTCCAGGTTGGATGCAAGCTTTGTTCTTGTCCAGATATGGGTTTGAGATCATATGCGACGTGTTCTTCTATGCTATGTGATGACGATGATGAAAAGAAACAAACGAAACTGGTAAGTGTATATTTTATTTTACTTAAGTATGTCTTTAATGGGTCTTAAAATTGCACTAAAATGTATTAAAACTGTAAATTGTTTTAAATTTACGTCGGCTCCGTGTGCGAATTTATTTGCTGTAAATTAATTTACTTCCTTAAATGCTTATAACAAGTGACTGTGATTGTATTGTAAATATATTCAGCAAAGTTTTCGAATTGCAGCTATTTGCGAAGTTTTATTGAAATCAGTTACCGGAAAGTGCGGGAAACCGGATTCATCCCCTAGTTTCTCACCCTTAGAGGTGGAATATTTTCTTCAAATTTAAATGGGACCACTGAGGTACCTTCTTTTCAACAAAAAAATAATTATCAAAATCGGTTCACAAATTTCCGTGCAATATGCATACAAAAAATACAGATGAACTGAGAACATCCTCATTTTTGAAGTTGATTAAAAAACAGTCGTCATATTCACAGAAACTGCATTTGCTGGTGTTACCAGTTCATAACTGTCAAATTATTGGCTGTGTGAATGGATGGATATAAAATAAAATAAAACGTATAACATATCGAATGTATTCCAACAAGTCCACAAAGTTAATCCTTAAAACGAATTTAGTAAATTTTCTTTCTCAACCCATCAGGTTGGGCCACCACCTCCGTCATCTCCGCCATCGCCTCGACTTCCGCTTCCGACTCCGACTCTAGACAAGCGCAATAGAAAATCAGAACCAAATAGTGCAGACGAGGCAGACACTGGCGATATGGGAGGACAAAATGTTACTATAACTAGACGAAAAGAGTTTTGTTACACGTACAACATATCCAATTCTGATGGAAAGAAATGTTCTCCAGGGTCTTCTTATATCCTATTGTAAGTGAAATTATAAATTATTATTATTGCTTTTAATCACAATTATACATAATATAACGTATAATATAATTAAACATAAATACGTTACAATACAAAGGCTAATAAGTAATATTTTTTATATATAATACCCAGTGACAGGACGAACAAGTCGTGCCCCACGCCTGTCCATAACACTTGCATTGCCACTCAGAACTTTATATAAAGATCTGAAGGGCACTGTCACTACGCCCGTCACCATGAGACATAAGTTGACAAGTCCCATGTGCCTGTGATTTCACCAGCAACCCTTGCCCTTCAAAACCGGAACGCAGCAAAGCTCACATTACTGTTTGGCAGCAGAAATAGGCGAGGTGGCAGTACTTCCCTGGACACCAAGTCTTTCACAAGGAGCTCTACTCAAGTTTAAAAAAATTGCACTAGATTCGAGTTATTAAGGCACAAATACTTTATGGAAACAGTAATTAGAAATTATTATTTTCCATGGCTGCGGTAAATAAGAAAGTTCAAACATTTTTAAGAATACATAAAAACAAAAATTAAAACTAACGCCTAACTTACGACATATAAATATGTTTGATATCGATTTTCTACTCGTTTTGTAATTAATTACACAGAAATATATACAAATATTTTTTATTATATATTGTTTTTTTGGTTTTATCGGCAGAAATAATCAAATAAAAATTTTAACTTTAATATTTTTATACTACGGTAATTAGAAAACCTACGGTAATGAATACTGGAGTACTTAGAACACGAAACATTTTCTTAAAAATTTCAAAAACTGGAAGTCATTGAAAATACTCGAATATCGCAATACATGAAGGCCTCATAGCAGTTTCATTTCAATAAGTGACAAACATTTCGACAAACAGTTCGTAATTCACATATAGAGGAACGGGAATTAGAAAATTTTAAAACCAAAATTACGGTAATTAGATACTTCCGTAAATTGCGTGCGACAATCGGGTGCCGCGTCACGCTGATTTCGTGGTTTAGGGAAGCAAACTTTGTAAAAGGAACAGGGATGGTAATTAAGTATAACTTCGGGCCGGACACTTGGATATTTGATGGTAAATTTTTTCAAAAAGTGGTCGTTATGGGTTATATGTTTATGTATTTACACAAGTAGTATTTCGCCACTCAGAATCTTGAATGGAGCAGGTATAATCCATTCCAGACTAAAATAAGAAGTTTGCAGACAAAGGTAGCGTCCGGACACGCTACGATAATTGAACAATATGGTTTTGAAACATAAAACGAATGTGACAATTAAGTTGCAGAGCTAAAATTTTAAAGATATTTTCAAATGTCATAAACTATAAAAAAATGTAGTCCTGTTTGATGTCATTCGATGTCACGAGGAACAGAAAAGTCCAGCACATGCAAAAATGTGCTGTTTTGAGAATAGCCAATACCAAGCTATGTGACAAAAGGGATTGGGTGACGAATTTAGTATTGTAAATAATCAGTAATCAATAAACCTAACTGTACAAATAAATTCAAACTAACGTATTTTTTATTATATCAAATCTAAGACTTTTCATATTCGATGGCGATCTTCAATTTCGACAAGCAGACCTCTTTATGCAGTAAACAAAGACCGTAAAACTAACCGCCACCAACTTTCTTTTCCCCAAAGTGCAAAACGCAATATCATAACAATTAATTCCCTTTAGGTTCCTTGTAAAAGAGTTCGTCCAGGTAAGTACTGTCTGTCACCTTACCTATTTCAGCCGTCAAGCAGTAATATGAGTATTATTGCGTTCCCGTTTCGAAGGGTAAGCGCCCGAGGAGAGAGTTTTCGCGCGGTCGAAGAGCGGAGTCCGCGGCGGCCGTCACGCGGTCCAAGAGCGAACTCCACTCGGCGACCGCGTAGAAAAAGACAAGCTAGTGCCTTCCAGCGAAAAGCTAAATAAATAGAGCGTATTTTGCCATGACAGTTCGGTCTCTGAACACGTGCACGCGGTCGATGGGCGGCGGCCGCCGCAGACTACGCTCTTCGACCGCGCGGCGGCCGCCGCGGACTCCGCTCTTGGTCCGCATGGGATGAGCGCGATGAAATTCGTGTCGTATAAACGCGCCCTATGCTGGTGAAATTGCAGGCACATGGGACTTGCCAACTGATGTCTCAAGATGATGGGCACAGTGGCAGTGCCCCAAAGATCTTTACGATTCATTGCAAGTGTTACGGATAGGCTTGTCGGTTACCACTAGGCGCTCGATTTGATCGGCCCGTAGCTTGCTATCATAAACCAGAGGTGGAATAATGCCCAGATAAAAGTCGTCAAGGCTGTTGCATTGCTATGCTACTCAAGACTGGATGTTAAGATATTTTATTCAGCAGTAAACGTCAGAAGACCATATTTTATGTACGTTATTGATTTCAGGTGTAAACAATGCATTTGTCCGTATATGGGGGACCTCAGCGAATTTTGCAGACCGTTACCACGTGATTTCTACTGTGAACAGCCATTTGAAAATCAATATTACTTACCTGTGGCACGAACGATGGACGGTAATATTTCTTGTTACATGTAACCACTAAGTGTCACCACTTGGTTTTTGGTTTAGAGAAAATTATGGGGCTAGACAGGGTATTGACCTTGGATTGTTTCTTTGATAGTTGGTGTTGGCCGACTTTATGCGTTTTGCCTGGCTTTAGGGGGTACTCGCGCTGCGCGCTTTTGTTTCTCTCAGACCGACAATGTACTAAGTTGATTTTCAGTATTGACGTTGGACAACTACTACGGTGATTTCGCGTCAAAGTGATCGTTCGCTAGCACAGCATAGTTGCAACAGAGCCTTTCAAAGCGGGACCTTTTCTACTCTCAAATCAGTGCGTATTTTAGGATAGGGACAGAGGGGAGATGGGTAGATTATTTATGCTTCCGCGAAGATTCGACGTGAAATCTTAACCAAGGAGTAGAACCTATCCCCACATCACAGATGCCTGGCATTGTAAGACCACGCGGACGTCACGTTCGTTCCTTCTTCGAACCTGCAAGATGTGAAATGGTCACCCTCCTGAAGTGTTTTCTTTGCGCTATGACATGGGGTTCTTCAAAAAGCGTATCAACAGGGCTTTCAAAGGCTGGCAAAACATAGGCAGCTCATCTGATGTTGCAGATGTCCATGGGCGACGTTGACACCTCCCATCAAGTGTCTCGTTTGCATCCTACTTTACAAAAAAGCTCACATGGGTTACTAATGTTTATAAAAAATGGGTTACATCTACAGGGTTATCTGTAAAATGCTAACAACTTCGTAGGGTCATATTACTAACATCATAAACAACAACGTTTGTTCCATGACTTATTACATAACATTTTAAATTTACCAAAAATAAACTTTTAAGTTTTTGTTGCACTATCTGATACTTTTTAGATCTATATTTGGTAGTAAGGCATTAAGTTGTCAAATGTGCGTCTGCCCCCACTCCCGCTCCTGAGTTTTGCATCGGACTGGGTATTTATTTACGCTAGCGCTTTCTTTAAAAGTTGTGGAACACAGATTATTGTTTATGATGTTAGTAATATAGTCCTGCGAGGTGGCTAGTATTTTACAAGTAATCCTGTATATATGCTATATGGCATGCTGCCAATGTAATGGAATTTTTTTGAGCCAGACACGATAAAGGGTGGAATTTTTTTGGTTAGAAAGAAGGGTGGCGACATCCCGTGAATTTGTGACTCAGTTTTTTTGATGAGGTGCATTAAAGAGGCCTATCAATACTTGCGACACATTATCAAAGCATCAAAAAAACTAATTGAGTATATATATATATATATATATATATATGTATATATATATATATAGCCTGTAGAAGCTGGGGGTTATAAACTTGATGTCGGTTAATAAATTATTAATATATGTTTATAACATTGTCCTGTATTTCGGTTCAGTTGTTTGTTCGTAGTACCAGAAAACAGCAAGCTTTCAGTTTGTTCCTAAAAATAATAAAGAACTTGCTGAATATTCCTAAATCTGCATTTAATACAACGTTAACATATTATGTCGGAATGAAAATAAATTAAAATTAAATCTGCCTAAATGGCAGAAATCTGCCACAAATGGTCACACTGTTCTCAATTACAATGTGGCATTGACATTGGCAAGTGGCCTCTTGTCAAAACGTTCTATTGCTAACTTTCATTCAAATATTGTCTAAACATTTTTGTCATATTGTGTTTTATTTTTTAATTTATGTCATTATTGTTTAATTGATTATTTGATTAGGTATTTCATAGTTTTAATGTTTTATGTGTGTAGTATAAAATAACCAATATTTTAGGTAGGTAAGCATTAAATCATGCTTGAAATGATACGTACGTACAAGAACGATTCTTCATCTAAGGACGAACTGAATCAATTACGAAGTGTTCTTGCATCTATTCTAAAATATGTATTGCAATGACTTTATTCCCGACTTCTAAAAATATACAAAAATATAGTAATAACTAGGCATAAATTAAACGTAAAATTATACTAGCAAGGTTCATGAACGGCACTTCGTTGATTTTGGGTCAGCTTTTGCTACCTTTCTTTTTGAATTGTCAAGAGATATTGATCTCTTGTAAATCCCAGTTTTTGTTTTATTGTAGGCTGTAAATTTACAACCTTCCTTTTAATATCTTTTTAATATTTTTATTAACCGGGAACAAGAAAGATAATAAGCACATAGAAAGATTAGTGAGATCCGCTGGTTCGTGCCGTGGCTAAGTTGGCATAGCGTCTGGCACGGTTTACTAGAAGTCGTCGGTTCGAATCCGGCCGGATCAAAGGAATTTTTTCTAAGTCTTCCGATCTTTGTATTAATAATTATAAGAAAGACAATGTTACGTATTTGTACAATTAGAAGCATTTTCTCCACTTTCATGTTTCTTTTTTAGATAATTCGACAACTGAAGTTACTCCCGACAACGCAACAATTACAGCTGGAACTACATCGGAACCAAAAATTGTAATACCCAAAGATTTCCAGCACAATCACACTATATACAAATGCACTAAACCAGGTAAGCTTCTGGATAAATGTTTCATGTGCGAATGTGATGACTCAGGTTCGGTTATCGAGGAACATTGTTTTAAAAGTAGTGCTGATAACTGCAAGGATGTTAAGCCTACGTTTCTTAACTCCACAATAATTTAGAAGCCCGAAAACTTGACTTTAAAAGAAAACTTGCTCATGATCTCAGCTTTAACCTGATACCCGTTTTCAAATATAAGTTTAGGGAGGCTTATCAAGTTGTGCCCAGAACTGAACTGAACTTCTACATCAATCGTTCGTCGTTAAGGAGATGATAAGCAAGGTAAAAAGAAAAATATATAACTGAATAAAGATTGGAAGAAGATAAAATTTCCCCAATACCATATTAAAAGATTTTGGAATAACACAGGAGAAACTTTTCTTTTAAAGTTCAGAATACAATATCATTATCATTAATGTAAACTGTAAAAACAATAAACGTTCTTTGGGAAAAAAGAGTTTTATTATATTGAAATGAAAAACAACTCTATTTAGTTAATAGGATGACGTACATTTATTTATTTATCACCACTCATAAAACCTTTATTATATACCGTGGGAAAATAACACAACAAATGGTCGTGTACCAATCACTATTCACGGTACAACGATTCTCCAAAGCAACAGTAGCCACGTGTCCAGTTTTATTAAAAAAAGAAGCAATCATCCGCTTAGAGGCACTTTGCACGCGCGCCACTTTGGTTGGTTTCGGCTCATCTCGAAAGACCCATACGCTCGATTGCTGCTTTATTTTGGGATCGTAACTATAAATCCATGTTTCGTGACCTGTTACTATGTCCCATACCAAATTTGACGCCCCTTTATTGAATCTGGGAAGCGTGGCATAGCACCAAGTGACGCAATCCGTTTTTGAGCCTCAGTCAAATTGTGTGGGATCCACCGAGAGCACAGCTTTTTCACACCCAAATGTTTGTGTAGTATTGATTGTATTTGATTCATGCCTATGTGTAAAGATGCCCGAATCTCATGGTATGTCACATGCCAGAATATAATATACTATATCTATATACTATAATAAGTAAAATTCTTACTCCTGAAAACGTCATTTTTTAAGCTGATGCTCGTTCACTACGCTGACCTCTCTGAGAAGAACGAGCAAGAAACTTTAGGGATTGCTCTTTTCAAATACTTAAATGCTTTAGGATATTACATTTTGAATCATATTGTGTGGAATTTAGACTCACGTTGTCTTTCAATACATCTTTATCTAACACGTAGTCTACAATTTTGTAATATGACTTTTCAATTAAAATACTTTTAATGTAGGTACCTAAGTTTTAACTTAGGAAATGGTAATCTTAATATATGCTCCGGAATCTTATTGCAAAAACATATACAGTTCCCTATAAAATAATCGTTTACCTTAGTTAAACGAAATCGTGGTACCTTGAGTTTGGACTTACTTCTAAGGTTAATATTATGGATATCTTCTTTATTAACGAAATTATGTATATTTTTACGGACATACAAAATATTTGAGTAAATGTACTGTGATGCCACAGTCGTGATACCAATCTCCTTAAACTTTTCTCTGAGAGAAATTCGAGAACCTATACGGTACACAGAAGGAATAGCTCGTTTTTGCAACACAAATATGGTTTGCATATCTGCCGCTTTACCCCACATGCGAATCCCGTAGGACATTATACTATGGAAGTAACTAAAGTAAACTAGTCTAGTAGTAGCAACAACGGTAAGTTCACGTATTCTACGGACTGCGTATGCAGCAGAGCTTAATCTGCTGGCCAAGAAAGATGTGGAAACCATTGGAGTTTACTATCTAAGGTCACTCCCAAAAAGACAGCTTTATTAACAAGGTCTAACTAACTAACTTTTCTCCATTGATTTCTATGATTGGGCTACTCGATTTTACATTGGGTAATTCAAATTTAACACACTTTGTTTTCTTGGCATTGAGCAATAAATTGTTAACATTAAACCAATAAAGTACCTTTGAATCGATATCATTTATATTGTCGTAGTTAACGTCATGTCTGTCTGTTTTAAAAATCAAGGATGTGTCGTCAGCAAACAACACTATTTCGCAAAGGTCCTTAACAAAGAATGGTAGATCATTAATATAAAGGTGAAATAAGAAAGGTCCAAGTATTGAGCCCTGCGGAACACCCATTTTTACCGAAGAACCCAAAGAATTCACTCCATGTATATCTACTTTTTGAATTCTACCGTTAAGATATGACAAGACACGTTCCAACACCTTGCCACTTGTTGCGTAATATTACAGCTTCCTAATAAGAGTAATATGATCCACGCAACTTAAAAAGTCTTGTGTCTAATCGTATCGTATTATGTGGTGTTAAGTATGTGTAAATCTTAAAACGTGTGTATACTTTTCTGTAATTTATTTCTAATATTTTTTCTTTATTTCTTTCTTTCTAATCATAGAAGGGATCAAAGCAATAATTAGGGTAACTAATGTTTTACGACATCATGTAGGTAGTAACTTCACAAATTAATTGCTTAAACCTTTCGTAAAATCATTGCAAATTGCTCGAGTTCAGTTTATAGTTCAAATTCCAAAACTAGATTACGTGTGTAAATTATATTATATATAAATTATGATTAGAATTTTAATTGTTTTACCGATTTTTTGGGACGCTGTCTTGACAGGGCCTTTGAAAGGTAAGGATGAAAGTAACAAATTTGGTTAAAGTAGTGCAAGATATAAGATATAAGATGTATCGAGAAACTTAATCAAAAAGAATGCCTTCAACATATTGTGCCTGAATGCACGGACTTATTTGTATTAATAATTATAACAAATTAGTGAAGTAATTTCCCAAAAAAACAAACCACCGGTTCGACAGGTCCCGTGGTCACGGCTGAAAAATAATTTTTTTTTCTATGATACTTAGTGCCGGGACGAACAAGTCGTGCGCCTGGTGGTAAGCGTCACGCTTGTCCATAACAGTTGCAGTGCCATTTTAATCAGAGCTTTAAATCGCAAAGATCTGAGGGGCACTGCCACTGCGCCCGTCACCACATAAGTTGACAAGTCCCATGTGCCTGTAATTTCACCAGCACCCTTATCCTTCAAAACCAGCACACAGTAATGCTGACATTACCGCTGGCGGCAGAAATAGGTAAGGTGGCAGTACTACCCTGGACGAACTCTTTCTCAAGGAGCTCTACTACTCGCTATACTATACGGAACTATATTTGAATATCACGGTAGTAAAACATTGTGATATTCAATAAACTTAATATTATAAATATCAATAAGATTTTTATGAACTGTAACCGAAATTAAGACAAGATGAAAACAAATTTTAACAGCTACTTTAGAATATCGATTGCCGCTTTTGGTAAATTAAACGATACCTATATTAAAAGAAAAAAAAATTTTAATTACTACTTGTGATTCTCGGACCATCGTTCACATCGGCCCTTGTTAATGTTCATTTAAAAAAAAAAGTAAAATATAGTAAAATTCCTTCTTCGTGATTGCACCTTATTACACTCTAGAGAAGTCATGAAATTAAATGTACGTGGGATGTTTCAGATGACTCTGCGACATCTTCGGAGATGTGCTACAAAGGCGAAGAGATAACTAATCATTGCTTAAAATGTTTATGCTCAGAAAATAGTGTCTACAAATGCACTTCCACTGGAATTCCTTGCTCTAAACATATGGGTTTGTTTCTACGATAATTTTTCAGCTTATTTTCAAAAAGTTATCAAAACTACTGTTAAATAACAAGTCTTAGATGTCGGTATTTAGGGTGCCCTCAAATTAGACGCTTGTAGAGGCGGCAGTGGCGCGGCAACCGCGCGTCTGTCGCTATAGAAAAACTAGTACGATGCATACTGTCGGGGACGACGCTTACAAGTTTGAACTAAAAGTGTATAAAGTGTCAGATAGTAGAACAAAAACATAAAAGTTTATATTTGGTATGTTTTGAAAAAGTCGTGGAACAAAAGTTGTTGTTTATGACGTTAGTATAAGTAATATAGTCCTGGGAGGTTGTTAGTATTTTACAAAGTTCTAATTTTATGCCACCTGAGCTATTGTGATGTAGTGTATCATCTTATTCGAAAAAAAAAGCTATACAGAGAGTTCAGAATGCATGTATAAGATATTATTACTATTTGCTTAGAAGGGACCATACCAAACCATGTTTATATAGTAAAAAATAAGAAACTAAATTTGCGCAACTCTCAATGCCTTTTTATGCCAATTTATACGAAAAACTTAAAGAGAGTACATGATAAGTCTACTGCTCAAAATGCCAAAAATATCTATATCTGCTGCCCGGGATTGCTTCAAACATTCCGCTTCTAAAATTCGGAACAATGCAATGCAGTGTTCCAATTTTAACGGGCCGTGGCAGAATAACAGCGAGCGCTATGTAAAATAGCATAGTCCTCAGATGCTGAGTCATGGACCCTTTTGATATGCTGTTTTTATTGTAACTTGAATTTTTTTTTCTTTGTTTCAAATATGAAACAAAGAAAAAAGTACAACACAGAAAACTGCGACGCGAATTGCTGCGAAGCGATTTCGTGCGGCAAAGCATCTCACTGCCACTGGTAGAGTTCCTTCGACGTTAGTTAACGACATGGATCGTAAAAAGAGTTTTGCACAGCTGTTAATGATAAGAAAGTATAAACACAAAGAAGATTAACATCGCAGGAATACGCAATGCGGAGCAATTCGTAAATTCTTGCGATGCGTCGTGCGAGCTCGTAGTATTTCTGTGATGCGACGTCGCATCGTAATTTTGTGTTTCGATCTTAAGAACATGTTTTTTGGAAACCTTCTTTATACCCTGTATATCTTAACATTCAATTTTACAATTTATTTACACAGGTATAAAGCATTCCAAAAAGTTTGAATGTAAACCTCAGATGGTATACATCTACAAAGAGACATCCTGCATGTGCCTTAAGAACGGTCGTTGGCCCCATAAGCGCTGCCGAAACGTGTTCAACGCCATGCCTTCTAAGCAGTCTTGCATACCAAACAGCTACATCATCGAGGATTGCAACGTTTGTCGTTGTGGCCCAACAGGAATGATTAACAGGAAACACTGCACGCAAAATGTCTGCTCCGAGGTAATAAATCGAAGGTCCAGTATACTCAATAAAGTCCAAGGTAGTTGCGAACCAAGTAATTGGTATTCATTAGCCCCTTGTCAGTTTTGCTACTGTGTCAATGAGAATAAACTAGTATGTAGTACAAGAAATAATAAATTAAACACAATGCTTGAATTGAGAGCATATAATTTAACTGTATGCGGTAAACAAATGATCAACGAAATTATCGAACTCGTCCCAAAAGTTCAGAGGTCCCTACTTAGAGGCGGTAATAATTCACCAACTGTAAAGGTAACGACCGAACTGACGATGAGACAAAATGAAAATAATATTCATACGACTTACGGATACGGTGCTTCGAAAACTGTGTTACCAAGACCTGGCAGACTACATGCTACTCATAAAAAATCACAAGGAGTGGAAATCGATGACAATGAACCAGACAACCGAGGAGAAAGAGAGTATGTAAATAATGTAAGCCAAATTGTCAAGGACACTGACAGTGGTAGTGGCAGTAAAGTTGATAATCCTATTGCTCGTACTAATAAGTTTACTAGGAAACCACCTAAACGACAACTATCTGTTACTACAACCATTCTTTATAAAGAAAATGAAACAAGCGAAGACTCCACAGTCGTGAGTGACAAACCTAATATAGCCGAAGAAACCACACCTGTAACAATAATCAAAAAAGCACATATAAAAATCCCACTAGCAGCAAACATAATATTTGATAACGTTGTAGATACACAAGAAGCAAAACCAGATTTGATGAATGCTGCATCAGAAAATGAAAAAGATTATACATATAAAATAAATATCCCGGCCGTGTTGGATAGATTTTTGTCAATGTCAATGAAGAGAAGATCTATGGTAAAATTGAATGCACAGTCAAATTGTGTGCCTGGTGAAACCTCAAAAGAGGGTTGCAACAATTGTTTCTGTTTGGCGAACGGAAAATTGCTTTGTGCCTATAATTCTTGCAATGGAACCACTTCTGAACCTAGAAATAGAAATAGAATTAACCTTAATAAAACTAAATTATAGTTTTCGATTGTTCTGAAATACGCAATTCTTAAATACATCTTGACCAATTTGATATCTGCATTACTGTTACTTTCAATAGCAAATTCACCAATAATAATTACAGGCCCCTTCAATCTTAGTTCAGTGATGAAAATCATAAACTTGAATATAAATGTTAATCAACCATGTGGTAACTTTTCCGTTCAGAATAAAATGGCAAATTAATTGAAAAACTATCGTGAATACATGCTTTCTTAAATTTTATTGTTATTTCCATATGAAATTATTTAAGGCCGTGCAATTTTAAAATGTTGTTCTTTGTCCTATTTGTATGTGTTCTACATTTAACTAATGTGTTTACGGAGCACATGAGTAAGTGTCTCTTTTTAATTAACTTTTTTTAAAAGTGCCTTAAGACCTTTGTACTACGGTAAGTACCAGATATTTTCTTTAGCTGTTCTCAATAGCATCTCATTACAAAGTAGTAAATATTTCTATTTCAGGTACAGGCAACATATGGACGCAAAACTGCCAGGGTAGAGAAAAAATTTTAAATGATTGTAATTGGTGTACCTGTGAGTATGGCAGATTTGTGTGTCAACACCGTCCCTGCAACGAAGTCGATATGTTTGGAGCCTTTCATGGTACGTATTTTGTTACCCAACCACGGCTATAAGTCTTAGAAGATAATCTTGGAAGTAAAAGAGATAGACAGGTAGATAGCATGTTCTAAGATCTGTCTGTCTCTTTTACTTGAGCCTTGATCATAAGTTGTTATCAAATCAGTGAAGTTTCAATTCAATACTGAGAATTCCTTTAACAGATGCCGTTAAGGATCTTCAAATAGGCATGGAAGAGCATGGTTCATGGCGAACACAAACGACAGCCTGTCAACCTGGTATGCAGTACCAGAAAGATTATTTGGTGTGTATCTGCGGTGATGACGGCAACTGGCCCAATCCTCTCTGCAGAGACATATTTAGAGTCTTGCATGATGTAGATGACTCGTACCGGGGTCATCCAACATTAACTCAAAAATGTTCCAGCGGAAAACTTTATTTATTTGACTGTAACGTTTGTGTGTGTCCTCTTTCTGAATACATTGATGCAAGGTACTGCACAAAAAAAAATTGCTCTGATGACGACCCCATTCTGGAAGAAACACCGTATCCATTTATTGAAGGGGATATTGATGAAACAACTGACGTAGATATCTACGCAGAATGTCATTTGAATAGAAAGTACAAATTTGGTTGTCGCAAATGTACCTGCCAACGAAATAACAGACTGGTATGCGACAAATGTACTACAGTATGTAGCGATGTTACAGCGAATGAAGTGTTCAACGTGGAGTGTAACTCGTGCGTTTGTGAAAAAGGAAAGACTTTGTGCACTACCAAAAAGTGCTTAAAGGAATCTGAAAAACCTCAACTAGAACTGAGTAAACATATAGACATGGTTTTAACATCTGTACAATCGCCTGTAGATAATTTGGAGTGCATACCAGGTACTAAATATAATAAGGACTGTAATACGTGTTATTGTACAGAAAATAAAGAAGGCGAAAAAAGCTTTAGCTGTACATTGCAAAGTTGTGATCATTCTAGTTCAACCTATGATGTCACTAAGGACTGTGTTGAGAATACTGTATACGAATCGAATTGTCTGCGATGCCGATGCGATGTCATTGATGGAATCAAAAGGGAGAGTTGCGTAGTAAACTCTATATGCTTGGGGAACGAAACTCGCGATAATAATTTGGAGGCATTGCATGGTTACTGTGAGCCATCGCACGCGTACAATAAAGATTGCAATCAATGCATTTGTATGTCCAATGGAAAAACAGTTTTATGTTCGTCGAAAATTTGTAAGAAGAAGAAGGAACCAGTGATAGTTGATATTATCCCTGTAAGGCAAAAGGGTGGCAGCAATTGCCCAAAAAACCATATGTACAAAGTGGACTGTAACTTCTGTTTCTGTTTAACTAATGGTAATGTTCTATGTACCACATCCGATTGCAAGAAACCGCCAATTGATTAAAATATTCTGATCTTAGAACGTGTTAGCAATACTTCGACGTTGTCTAAAATATTCAACAAAGAACATTTCACGCTAAACTTATCCCGTCATACCAATCAAGTTTTATTTTTTTTCAAGGCGTTTTTATATATTTCTCACAATATTTTTAGTTGAATATCATTTTTTTCTCATGGAATATTACCCGGTGTAAGTCATGCGTCTGCGACGTAATGCAATACGTCTCAATATCGTAATTTGACATAATTTCGACGTCATTGTTACAACGAGACATCGCATAGTAATCACGACCACTTTGTGGCCATTGTCACGTGCATTAGCTGAAATGAAGCAAGAAATAATACAACCAAACAATATTCATTAACTATATTTCAAGAACAATAAAATTTATCTAAAACAATGGCATAGCTTACACTCATCGTCTTTTTCACAATAAATTAAATAAAACAAATAGTTACAGAATTGCTACTTATTGATACTTAAGTAAGTCTTAGAATTAAACTTAATCGTAACTTGATCTCACGGACTTTGTACGGACGTTTCATAAAACATAAAAAAAGATTAAAAAAATACTTATTGTTTGTGCGAAGGTACTACATAACTAAAACGCGATTTTTATATCATCACACTACATTAAACAAAAGCACATGAAGATAATACGTCATAATGCCCAATCCAATAATTCTCTAAAAAAAACATACGCCTGATTGAAACTTAAACGTCTTTTTGAACATACCGAAACAGCTAGCACGCCAACGTCGTATGTATAATTAAAAAAATAGCAAGTAGGGTAGCAAGTGTCTACAAAATTGTTACTTGTTTTCATTTGCTCATGATATGATGTTTAGATTATAATTAATGTCTTTAGAAGATGTGATTTGAAAAGTTTTTAGGTTATGTTAGGTTAGAATAAGTACAATGCCCAAAGATTTGAAAATTGATTCACAAAAACTTTGTCTTTTCATTATGTAATTAAAATTCAACTTAAATTGAATTCAAATTAAAATCAATTAGATGCAATTAATTAACTTTAGTTAGCTAACCGCTGCAGTAAATATCATATTTACACATGGACGCTCTGGTCAAACATGCGTCCAGACTATAGCACCAGTACAGTGATTCAATAGAATAGAGCAGTGGCCATAGGACTGACTATGATAATGATGGTCCTCTCATAGCACCAAGCACTGTGATTTAACATAAGAACAATCCTCAACAGCAGTCCTGTCACTAATCTAGGCGAATTGACAACATACGAGATATTTCAAAATTGGCGCCCAAAGTGGGGCGCTCTTAAAATTTACCCATGTGGATTATTACCAAAGTATGATTCCGCAGATGCTGATACATTCCAAATCCAGTATTCACATCTGATACTTCATTTCTTGCACTTTTCAGTGTCTGTGACGGCATTGTCATCAGATTTTCGAATCTCCTTTTGTTCATTACACAAACAGCAGCACATAAAGTGCATTATCGTAAACAAAGTGCATGCAGCACCTAAGGAGATTCACGATAATATTCAAATTATTAGACATCATTAATAATACGGTCCAGTAAGAAAGCTAAACTAAAAATTTGAAACTAAAATACCATCAAGCAGATCTTAAGCCCAGCTGGGCCACTAGGCCTTCAGAAATTAAGAGAAAGTGTCATTGACCTGCCGACAGCAGCGTATAAAGGTGGCTCTTCGTGGAAGTTCTCTGAGTCTCGCAGCGCCAACGTAGGTACACGACGATCGGAGACCACCAAGGATGTCTTTGACTGTTGCGCCTACATCACCTCTGTATTCTACTTCTACGGTTTTACCTACAAAATAGTAATTATAAATGTTAAAAAGGACACCACACGAGATTTTTCTTATCCTTTTTTTATAAGTTGACAAGTCCCATGTGCCTGTAATTTCACCAGTACCCTTACCCTTCAAAACCGGACCTCAGTAACGTTCACATTACTACAGTGCGGCAGAAATAGGTAAGGTGGCAGTACTTCTCTGGACGAACTCTTTCACAAGGAGTTATGCTGGTATTAAGTTACTGTTACTAAGCTACGGCTACGAACTTACTTTCTCATTAGTTGTCAGTTCGAAGTATACATAGCCTGTCGAATGATTTTAAGTCATTCACAAATTTTACCTTCAGAAGACCTATATTCTGCAACCCCTCCAGAATGCTTCAACATCGCGGTGGATGACGACATGCCGTAGAATAACTTGACTTTCTTTCCGTCCGATTTTGTGACTACGTCTCCACCGCACTGGTCATGCCCCGCAAACATTCCACCCGCCATTACGAAGTCAGCGCCTGCGCCAAAAGCCTTCGCTACATCGCCGGGACAAGTGCAGCCACCATCCTGGAGTATGGAGAATCAGCACTTCGTTAGTTCTTATACAATCTTTCCTATAATTTTATTGGGAGTGATCAATTGCATTTTCTTCTTTTTCTTCTCATTACCGAAAACGGCATTAATCAGAAGAAAAAAGCCCCGAGGGTTGTATTGGGGGCATTATAGTCAAGTTATCCTGCATGCAGTCATACTATTACGTGCAAGTGTGATGAAAAACATTGTATGTTTGACGGGCGGTACAGCAATTACGAACCTCGACTCGGTCGGAACCACCCAGTCTTCGACGTTGGGCTTCCAATAGTCTCCTTCGTAATTCCTTATTTATCGCCCTTAATACACAATGTTCTATACAGATTTTACTGTCGAGGTGATGATTTTTATGTATCGTTTTTTGAGTAAACATTTCAATTACTGATGCTAGGGATCAGGGCCATATATTTTTATTTAAATTTCATTTAAAGCGCCACTCCCTGTCGACCTCTTGGTTATACTGGAACAGCACTGTTACCTGTGCAAGCAAACCCGCACGCTCTTCAGTCAGGTCCTGACGCCAGATCAGCCCGTTTACACAAACTTCGTCCTGCTATGCACGTTGATAGTATGATCACTGTTTTGATAAATTTTACTCACCGATATAATATGTCCCTTGAGACCGTGTGCGGCGTCAGCGCACTCAATGACGGCAGACAGCTGAGGATAACCCACTCCAGTTTTAATGCGGGTCGTGCATACCGAGCCTGGACCAATGCCCACCTGGAAATAATCGACCATTTTTATACTTTCACAAGTTTTCGAATGCAAATCGACTATAGCCATTATTTTATGGATATATATTGATAACATGTTTATAGCAGATAGAAATGAGTAATTAGGACCTTTGGGATCCCAGTATTGGACCTTCAAAGGTACTTATTGTCTCTATTTGTACATATCTATGGTAAAAAACTTCAAAACATTATCCATAGGTATGGATATATCTAAACGTAGAACATAATATGAGCCTTCGAATTATATTTTTCCAATGTTTCAGAAACTTTTCCGGAAAAATTTTCACAATTTGAAACTTTTTGGAAAATACCCAGCAGTAGGTGCAATGATAGTTATTTGTTTTACAAGGCTGCAATGTTGTAGTTTGACGCGAGTTGTATTGAAATCTGAGCTAGCGACGGAACCACGCGAGTGGTTCAAAAATAGAATCCTGAGCGAAGCGAGGGTTTCAAAGCACGAGCCGAAATACAACTTTGTAAAAAAAAACACAATTTTTCACCTCACTATAGCGATGAAAATGGTAGACGAAAGAAAAACAGTTGAACTATAACAAATCAGTTTAGTTCTTCGACGATTCAAAATAATTTAAGAAACAAAATTAGTTATCGTCAAGTTCGAATTTGCAGATTCGCAGATTTCTAATGAGAAAGAAAGCCTTTCCTAGCCAGTGAGGGAGGTGAAAAAATATTTCATTAATTCGGTCAAAAGAATATAACACATACATAAAATACTTGTCGGTTTTGAATTATACAAAATACACACCTTTATGATATCAGCACCAGATAAAATTAATTCTTCAACCATCTCCCCAGTTACTACGTTGCCAGCCTGAAAAATACATTCATGTTTAAAGATGTTATTAATTACGTATTTCACTTTTTCGATCACATCTCGTGAATCCAATACATTTTTAAACTCATTAAATTTTGGCCGTCATAGTGGGATCTTTTATGTTCACATGATTTTAAAGTAAACGTTCGGGCGGGTTTCGGGCGGGTTTCGGGCTTGGGCGTGCGTGCGTGCGTGCGTGCGTGCGTGCGTGCGTGTGTGCGTGCGTGCGTGCGTGCGTGCGTGTGTGTGAGAGAGAGCGTGCGTGTACCATTGCGTGTGTGTCGTGTATTAGTAAATGGGAAGTGAATTTAATACGGACTTTCATTAATTACATCTCCTGTAACAAACAACAACCAGAAATTTTGAAGAGAATCAATCAAACAGCCAAAAACTAACCCGCCCAAATACATATAAACGGAGTAAACAATAATCTCCTTTTTTTTTAAATCGATGAAATACAATTAATTATAGCTTACAATGATAGTGTGCTGCGGAAATGCAGCTCTCACTCTTCTAACGTATTCGACGAAATGTTGGGAGTACCCGTTGGCCACGTCTAAGCAAATAAACTTCAGCTCCTTAATGGAGTTGAGGATATCTGAGAGACGCTCAAAGTCTGCTTCCGCTGTCCCTGAGCTAGCCGCTGAAATTAAAAATTAATATTAATTTTTAAATCAAAGTCAAAATCATTTAATGCTGTTAGTCTGTCTTTCTTGAAGACAGAGTAAAATTACATTTACAGGGTTGGCAGTTTTCATAAAATTTTAAATAGTCATGTAGTTGTTATCGACAGTTTTATCGATAGATTGTGAAAGAAGATGAAATTTTGCGAAAAATATCTGAATTGCGAATGTTACGACGTCCTAATGATTGTTTTAATGCGTTCATTATTATTTTGACAGTTGGCCAACTAGTATCGAAATCAATTTTTATTCATATATATTTTACATACGGATTTGATTATCTACATTGAATTAAAATTAAAAACTTTAAAATATGTCTCCTCTTTGCATATTTAATAGACATAATTGTATCTAAATGGTGTATACGTATGTATGAACATGCATAAATTGACAATTCAAATGAAATGCCCAGAAATTAAGCAAATAACGTGCCGATGATGATTCTAATTAAACAAGTTCGACTATTTATTGCACAAGCGTAACCAACATTCAGCGCCCTTCTGGCACTTGTGCCACTTGTGCCAGAAGGGCGCTGGGAACTTGTTCCCAGTAGCGCCCTGAGCCTAGATCCGTGCCCTCTTGGGCGCTCTCAGACCCGCTACTTAGATTTAAGTTTATATATTGAAGGCTCTGCCCTCCATCCGGTGGCGCAGTCAAGGTCATTAGCGGCCAACTGCAAAATGTCCTTCACAAAAGAAAAACATTCAGTGGATAGTCGATAGAATATTTATCATATTATAATCACTAGCTGCTTACAAGCGAACAACACTTTTGCGCAATAAGCTATAATTTTTTTTTTCTATAATCGTCAACAGTACAGTATTCAACCCCGTGCAAAGTTTCGTTATGTTATATGATGTTATGTATTAAATTCTAAATACTCTCTAACTGTATATAAACAGTGAAACAGACAAAGCGTTTTTAAAATCGTGACCGCAGTTTTAAGTGGTCTGGTAGATGCTTGTATTTCTTAATGGACATATTAAATATATTTTTCATAAACACGTCTTTGAAGCAACGAGGTCGAAATAAAAGATTAATTAGCACTTGTTCGTCGCTGTAACACATTGCCACGTTTTTTAAAGTTATGTGGGTGGTTATTTATTAGAAACAACCATTGACTTACAATTATATGGACGTCGGGTCCGCGCTAAAAAGTGTCCGCACTTGTAAGGCGCTAAAATCGTATACAGAGCGCGACACTCCGCTTTAGTCTTCATTTGTTCTACGGACAGCGCGATACTGCGATGACATAACAATTTAAATTTCGAATAGGTTGACTTGGGACATTTTTTTCGTGGTTTTTGTATTAGACCCGTCGTCCATTTATTTGTAAGTCAATGGAAACAACAGATATCTCTAATGTCCCACATGCAGGCGAGAGGTAGTACCTACGTTAAGTTTTTTTTATCAAAGGCTTGCAAGTGTCCACTTTGGCGCCATATATTTTTTAAATACAGAAAATTATGACCCTTCAGTCGGCATAGTACTTATTTAAATAAAATGTGGCTTCAGCACAAATATCTCGATATTTGTTTTTAAAGAACAATGCCCAAATTCCATACATTCCTGGACCAGCTAAAGAAAGACTGACGACCATCAATCACAAATACAGGATTTCATTTGTATTTATTTATAGTTTCTAATCATACTGGATTTATATTTTTTAAGTAGGGGAAGTTGACTTAAGCAACATTGTCTTTTATGTAATGATGAACATTAATATCTTACGTTGTGTACAGAGTTAAATATTATTCTAAGATAAGTATAGTTGGGTACACATTAAAAGTAATACTTACTTAGATTCGCTACGACTGACTAATGAAATAAAAATAGAGCTAAAGGCATGATTTTTTTTTCAATACGTAAATAAAATTAATGCGTTGTTAGCATTTACTTTGAATGTAGCTCTACTTAGATTTTTACATTTTATTTGAAGTCTCGTTCACACTTCACATAATTTTTCCAACGTTGAGACAATTTGTTCTTGAATTTTCTGACAACTTTGAGAGTCAAGTTCAAGTTAAGGAAGATTTATCGGTATCACGCCGGCGTTCACATTCACGAACCTCGAAATGCTGCCGTCAGAAACGACGCGAATTCTCCGCTCACGAAGGAAATCGGCAATCCAGCTGCATAACTGGGCTGGCAAACCGTACGCCGGGAGCTTGGAGAGAAGAGCCTTGTGCCAGACCCGATCGAATGCTTTGGCTATATCGAGGCTAACAGCCAACGACTCGCCACGTTTGTCTATAGCCTCACCCCAAATATGCGATAAGTACGCTAGAAGGTCACCCGTTGATCGTTTCGGACGAAACCCATATTGCCGATCATTTATTATGGAGTGATCTTCTAGGTATTGGGTCAGTTGTTTGTTAAGGATCCGCTCTAAAACCTTGCATATTATGGAAGTAATGGCTATGGGACGGTAATTATGCGGGTCTGATCGGTCGCCTTTTTTGGGAACTGGTTGCACATTAGCCTCTCTCCAAGAGTCCGGCACACGACCTGAAGAGAGCGACAGACGATACAGTCGCGTTAGCACGGGGGTCAACTCAGCTGCGCAGTTCCTAAGTACAATCGCTGGGATACCATCAGGACCACTAGCTTTCCGGACGTCGAGAGACTGCAGCTGCGTACGCACATAGCATTGTCTGATACGAATATCAGACATCGTGTAGCCACAGTGAGGTAGAGTTGGTGGCTGTGCGTTACAGTCGTCGAGACAGGAGTTAGCCGCAAACAGATTTGCCAAGAGGTCGGCTTTATCTTGCGGCTTGTGGGCTAGATTGCCATCAGAATATCTCAGCGGGGGCAGCGAGGGCTGGCAGAAGTTCGACGCAACAGCTCTGGCCAGACGCCAGTAGCTACGACTACCAGTGGGATGCGTCAGGAGTTCTTGGCCAACTCGTGCGACGCGCTGAGCATCCGCTCTGATGTACGCTCTTTTGTAAGACCTGGTGGCATTATTGTAGGCTGTTTTAAGTGAGTTCGTATTGGGATCGTCTGAAGCTAGACCCCTGATCCAAGCGTGGTATGCAGTCTGTTTGTTCTCAACAGCCACAGCACACTCGCGGTTGAACCAGCGGTTGCGCCTCCCTTTACTGACGAGATCCGAATGCGGGATGTAGTATTCCATCCCGATTAAGATCTCATCAGCAACGGCAGTCGCGCTAGCTGTTGGATCCACCTCACTAAAACAGCGCTGCCGCCAGGGAACGGATGCAAAATAGTCCCGCATACCGTCCCAATCTGCCGACGCATAATGCCAAATGCGGCGTTTAGCCACAGTAGGTGGTGGTGGCAGTAACGTTGCCACTTTAGTGGATATCAAGCAGTGATCCGAAGTGCCCAGAGGGGCTTGGACCTCCACCCGATATCCAGCCGGGCGAGACGTCAGCAGAAGGTCCAACAAAGAGGGCGCGTCACCAACCCTATCTGGAATCCGGGTGGGCTGGTTTACCAGTTGGGTTAAATCGTGTGTGAGAGCGAATGTGTGGGCAGTTCTTCCAGCATGGTCAGTTTTAGAGGTACGTAACCACGACTCGTGGTGAGCATTGAAGTCCCCTAAAAACACCAATTCCGCTGTAGGAAACTGCGCCTGCGCGTCATCTGCCGCCCGAGTAAGGTGGTCTATGAGACGAGTTGTCTCCATGTCGCCGTGGTGGGATCTGTAGAGGCACATGTAGACACGGCAATGACTACCCAGGTCAACATGTACCCCAAGGATGGAGAAGGAGGGGTCCTCCAAATGACGCAGACGGCGACAGCAAACATCTGCCCGGACAAACAAGCAGACCCCAGCTTTCGCTTTGAAGGACTCTTCAAGCATATAGCCAGGGTAAATCAAGTAGCTGCTGTCAGCCGGGCAGAGTATTTGCGTCTCCGTAAGGAACAGCATTTCTGGCCGAGCCGTCTCAAGATGTTGGTGGACGGCGTGGATGTTACTGTGGAGTCCTCGAATGTTCGTGAACTCCACCTTAAAGAGTGCTTTAGTGGTGGGGGTGTGCACCGCTGTACGACCGAAATTTGTACTTTGCGCTAACATGTTGGAGGGAAAAAGAGGCGTGAAGCGAGAAAACAGTGCCGCGACACAAGCGGTCAAATCGCGGGGCCTGCTTCCCCAGAGACTTGCCTACAGACAAGTTGCGCTGATCCGCCGGACGGAAGGGCCCCCGAACCCCCCCGGGAATGGCCGCCGGGACCCCACCTCCCGGTCACCAACCGGCACGACGAACCACACCGAGATTATGCGCGGCATGGTGAGGCAGCCTCACGAGCTGGTTAAGCACGCTTGGGCCCCTGTACTGTACCGCGGGCGGCCAGCGGAACAACCGTTTCTACGGGTCTCCCTGGCCGGCGGGTCAATGCAGTTGTCCTGGCACTGGTTCGGCGGAAGCCTCCACAGACCACAAATGTCGCGGCAGCGTTGCCTCGGGCTCTGGTTGTACGCTGACTGATCCCGGAACGCATCCGACTAGCGAACACTTGGCGGGTTTTCCATCATGCGCACGGTGGTCACTAACCAGGCGGGTTTTCAAGCCCTACCACCAGTGGAGCAGTTGGTTGCTCAATATCCCTTAGTCGCCTCTTACGACACCCACGGGAAGAGAGGGGCGGTGAATTGTATTCTAATCCGTCACCGCACGGCTATTTTTGTGGTGGTGGGCGTTGCAATTTTTTTTTCTAGCTTAAGTAGACGGTGAGCTAAAAAGTTTGGAAACCTATGGGCTAAAGAATGTGCTAATTTGTTACACGATAGGATGTACTTCACCCGATCATATAAAATCCTGAAAACAGGCTAAATTAAGGTAATCTATCACAAACTCGAATGTTTATTTTCGTTTTATTTATTTCGTTAACGTTTGTTTGAATTTTCATTACACCAAAAACCGAATTATAACGTAACCGTTGTTCGTTCAGGATATGTTGGATGTTTATCGCAAAGACACGATTACGTTCAGTTAGGTTAGGTTAAGTGAGATGAAACATTTTTCTCTCTAAATTGCTTTGAGGTTATGAAAGTTCGAGCAAACGTTATTTCTGGAAAATGTCATTTCGGACTACTGATAGGTAATCCTAAATTAAAACTCCAAAACGAATCTTACTTAAGAATAAAATTTCTAATTTTGCACATAATTTTATATTAAGATATTACTACAGAGAACCTGCTAAATTTTGGTTTTCAACTAAAGCCTTTTAGTTATTAAATTCATTTATTCTGAAATTTGAAAATTGCCCAGCGGCTTAATGACGCACCGCGACCCGAAAACCTTCTAAAATTGATGAAATACACTTACCTATATGTTCTAAGCTTTCTGGGTGCTCGGTGGCGAATTTCACCCAGTCCTCAATCGAATAATACTTATGGATACAAGTAAATAGGCCATGCTGGAATAAAAAGATGAAGCCGGGTTCAGTTAGTCTACACTAATATCAACTTAACTAAGTATAAGTAATAGGAAATGAAAGTATTATTTGGGATCTAAATAGCGTATATTTGTTTTTTCGAACACACCAATGTTTCAGGTCATTTACCGGTCCCATGGTCATTATTTAGAGCCGAAAAAATATTTTCATTTCCAATGTGTAACAATCACGAAAACCTTACAACTCGGATAAGGATAGTAACAATAAGGATAATTGGTCTCATCACGACTGAGCTACAATTTTTTTAGCTGGGTCATCGATTTATTCTATACACAGGGTTGCGCGACGGGGATGTTTGCCGAAGCCCGCATTGATGATTTCTTGGCGATTATGCGTAAAAAGGCGAACTCCCTGAGATGCAGATTGCAGCACCGACGACGTTCTGACGATAATCGGGGATAGCGGTGAGGGTCCCATCCACAAATGTTGTACGGAACTACTCAAAAGGGTATATCCATATCCGGAACTATCAAGTTTCATGTAATGTAATGTAATGGTTATATCGTGTCCTTCATTTTTATTTTAATACATAAATAATTACTTACTTACTAACCTAATTTTAAGACGAATTGTTACTAAGTAATTACTAATATTGCTATGGATGATGTTTGAAATAAATAATATCTTTTTTAAAATCTAACGTATTGTATCTAGCTGGCTGGTAGCTAACTTTTCTTGGTCGCCAGCAAGGTCCTATGGTACATGCAGGAGGAGCCTGCCCGAAAATACTAAAATAGGCAGATACACAGCAGCAGGTATTTTTTTATGTTAGTCATGCGCCTGGTGGTAAGCGACACGCCTGTCCACAGCTATAAATCGCAAAGATCTGAGGGGTCCACTGCGCCCGTCACCATGAGACATAAGTTGATAAGTCCCTATGACTGTAACTTCACCTGCATCCATACCCTTCAAAACCGGAACGCAGTAATTATCATATTACTGCTTAGCGGCAGAAATAGGTAAGATGGCATATATTTCCATGGACGAACTCTTTCACAAGGAACTCTGCTGCTACTAAATTTGTAATTTTAAAGGCGTTTATATTTTCATGAAATGTAATGATTGGTCTCAGACTTTAATTCAAACCTCATCATCGATTCATTAGATTCGCTTTGAGACGGCAAATAACTGACCTCCTGATGTTGCACAAAATAGTAAATTCCAAATTACATACTGATATCATAAGCTATGTTTCGCTGAAGGTCACTAATGGATCTAATCGTAGGCAATATTTATTTTTGGTGCGTTCTGCTAAAAATAATGTGTCACATAACAGCCCTCTCATACGTTTATGCAGGCAGTAGGTACAATACTTTATTTAAAGGTCTTGATATATTCCACCAGAGCACCAACACATTTGTAAATATTATAAAAAGACCTGATTGTAAGGAGACACGTGAACACCACAGAGTGAAGTAATTTTATTTAAAGTATATACATACTTTCTATTAACTTAGCCATATTCATTAAGTTAGAAAGTTTTATTTGCACGGTTGTTATTGAGCTACAAATTTGTTTGTTTCTGGTTAGTGTCATAGTTTTACTTGTAATTTTTTTTAAATTTGTAATTATATATAATTTGTATTTTGTAATTGTGCCAAAATAAATAAAATAAACAAAATAATCGGTAGTATATTTAAACCACACAAACCTATTCGTTATGCTTTAAAAAGCAGCATTTCTACAAAACGATAAGGCTGTATTCTTGAAATGAAACAACAGAATCCTTCATTTGAAATGTTTCACATTGTTGCAGATATATTTGCTATGTAAATAATTCTACTATGTTTTCAGTCATAAGTTCTACGAACGCAGAATGAAATATAAATAAATGTGCCCGTACAACCACATTCATTGATCTGGAAATCCCCTCTACTATTTTATGACCAGAAAGACTATATTACAACCATTGGAATGTCGTTCCAGTGGCCCTACTCTTGAAGCACGAGATCCGCACATTTGTTTTTTTGGAATTAGAAAAAACATTAACAAAGAAGCAGTGATCGCATACCATTTTCTTCAGTCAACAAATTACTGTAAAGGAAAACATGGTGAGAATAGATGACAAACGACATTTACTTATTACGACACAGTAATATTTTATTATATTCATTAAGGTACAAAGCTCGCACCCCTCATGGAAGAATAGCATAAGTGGAGTTACATCAAAAACGTTTATTGCTCCATTAGATACAGAAAAATATAACCCACGTCCTCTTCAATTTTTGTAACTCTGTCGACTAATATTGTACATAGAGTTACAAGAATTAGAGAGGCTGCGGGTATTTTTCCGTGTCTAAGGAAGCAATAAACATGTTTGACTATGCACATCATAAAAGTAAAAGGCTGTTCAATACATTATGTCATGATTTGAATTTGAAAATGAAGTTATGTTCTCGTACGAACAATAAAACAAATTGTATTCGCCCTTGCCTCGTGTCTCTGTACGTAAACAGTAGGGTTAGCACGATAAGGCGCGACTTGCGCGAGAGCGACATAAGGCGCGAGATATGCTATTCTCGCATAGAAATCTCGCGCTTTATTGTGCTAGCCCTACAGATGTTTTTATCTTTGTCGCGCCACCCAGTGTAAACATATCGAAATATACAGTATCTATGCAATTATTATTTATCCTGGTTTCTCTCTTCACGTGGTTAGCATTCTGCTCCAACATTTCTGTGAAGAGTGAATTTTTCATTTATTTTATAACAGCAAACACTACGAGTAAAAAAACTTAATAGTTACAGAAAAGTAGTAAATATTTTTGAGAATTTTGTATTACGTATTTATTAAATTACTTAGCTTACAAAATGACTGAATAAAATGGCCTGACAACAGACCCAAAAGAACAATGGCAAAATCATAGTTAAAAGCGTCTTCAAATGTCAAAATAAAATAAATTTATTCAAACTTGTAAATTTGAATAAAAAAGCTTTTCACATTATGATAGCGCCCTCTCTAAGTATGAAAATAAAATCATATTTAGAAGAAACTCACTCAAAAAACTAATTATTACGTAACCGGACTGATATCTACAACTGTCAGTTTCTTAGTTTCTTAATGTTAAGCGACTTCTAGCCGCCAAAAAAAGAATTTCAGTACCTACGTATGGATATGGTCCACATTAAATTAGTTCACATAAAATAAAATATACTGATTGGATCGATTTGTAATAAGAGATTAACTACTTCATTACAAAAAATAAAGTAGATAATTCCTTCTCCAAGATACCATGCTAGAAAATAGGAAAATTGACGAAAAAGTTCCCGAAATCAGGGATAGAGGGCACGTTTCACAAAAAAAGAATGTATGTCCGAGTTATCAGTGCAATAGTCTGTGATATGTATTAATTAACTTAGTTTTTTGTTATGGCTTTCTTCATGCCTTTTGACCGTAATAATATAAAAAATAATTTCCTCTCAACGTTCGTCACGTCACAAACCCACGGCACCATTCAGCTTCTATTAACTCTGTTTAAGGCTTCTGTGGGTTATTTCAATATAATAATAAACCGAATATATTTTATTGATTACGTAACACATAACCTCCAAAACTTCAAACTGGAATACCTTTAATTCCAGACTTCTCAGAATAGTAAACCTAAATTAAATTTTTTAATGAATTTCAACTCTATATTTTCAGGTATTTTTCATAAACAGACCCATATATTATTATCTCAATAAAAATTTCTATATATTTAATGTATGACAACGCGATTTGACAGTTTCGGACGTGCCTTTCGACAGTTTCGAAGGTTGTTTTCATTGTTGGACATCGACACCACAAGTCATCCACAGTAGGAAAAAGGCCGTCCGTATCTACGGATTTCGTGCTTCGAGACTAGGACCTCCGGATGGTCCTATCAGTAACTTCTCGTGGGTGTAGAACAAGACAAGTATTATTATTTGTTTATAACTTTATTTGTCCCTTACAATATAAATGGAATACTTTTTTTATAATAATCAAGTGACGGAACAAACAGTAAGTCGTGCGCCTTATGGTAAGCTGCGCGCCTTTCTATAACAGTTGCAGTGCCACTCGGAGTTTTAAATCACAGAGATCTGAAGGTTTCTGCCGCTACGCTCGTCACCCTAACCCATATTTTCATAATCACAGTTCTATGTGCCATGTTCCATGTTTCACAAGCACCCTTAGCCTTCAAAACCGAAACAGTAAAGCTGACATTACTGCTTGGCAGCAGAAATAGGTAAGGTGGCAGTACTTCCCTGGACGAACTCTATCATAAGGAGCTCTACTAATACATACAGTTTATTATTTTACTTATTTACTTACTGCTTATTCTGTTTGTTATTAAGGTTAGTACTGTTTTACACTTAATAATGTTATGTGTAAAGGTCTTTAGCCAGGTGGTACAACCAAGTCATAATAATAAATACCTTAGATAATTCCAGTGCCATTTCAAAAGTGCCTACAGTGTCCATGTTACTGGCCATCACGGGGATACCCCGGTACGTCTGTCCTGAGTTGCGAAACGTGATTTCTCGGTATAATTCTACCTGGAAAATAAAGACAGGAAATATTATATAAATATATTAACGTGCACGTGTAACGAACGTATGAACTTAAAAGTCTAAGTAAGATAGGATTCTTTCTCTAGTATCAGCAAAATTTAGAAACCAATACTGCCGCCGCGCCGTTAGTTGAAAGGGTGCATGCCGCGATTAGTAAATAAAGGCCGACCTGTTATTATTTTTATTTTTAACCGACTTCAAAAAGGGAGGAGGTTTTCAATTCGACTGTATTTTTTATGCATATTACGCAATAATTCCGTTTTTTTGGGAACTGATTTTGATATTTTTTTTTTGTAGGAAAAAGGATACTGGTCCCTTTTAAATTTGAAGAAAATATTCCACCTCTAAGGGTGGCAAACTAGGGGATGAATCCGGTTTCGCGCACTTTCCGGTAACCGATTTCAACTAAAACTTGGCAAATAGACCTAATTACACGCAATTTTGAGATCAGTTGTTTTAGTACTCTGTACTGAGATTATTTCCTAGATGGATAAGGTATGAAGTTACGGTAAGAGAAAAGTAGATCTATTTTTTAATTTCATTTCTTTAAACATTATTTTTTCGGTTTTCCATTTTTTGTCACACGTTGGCGACTGATATTGCCCTCCATATTATAAGTAGCGTAATCCACATTTTTAGCGAAATTGGGACATTAACACATCGGACTACTATTACAATAGTGTTGTAACTCGAAATATGTGAAACTCAAGATTATACTATTGCTGAACGTAAAATTTCAATATCTACACGTCAATACAACAGGCGTTAGAATATTATGAAAAGCAAGATTCTTAACTCTAAATAAGACAAACTTATTGTGAGCTAATTATGGATAAAACAATTCTCAAAAATATGAAATTAATTTTTCCCTTCCATTTTTAAATATATAGTAGGAAATTGTTTAGATGTCGCTAATAAACTTTATGCTATGCATAATTTGTTTTAAAGTTAGTAATTCGTTATTTATCGTTTCTGAAAAAAAAATACACTTTTTGAGTTAATACATTATTGTATTAACAATGCGATATCTGGAATCAGCGAAACGAGGTCTACACCACCCTATAAGCGATTTTTTATATCTTATTTAGTTTCAGTTTTATCGTTAATCAACGTAATGCCATTTTTCAAATAAAAAGAAAGGTTAGGTGCCAATATCTCGAAGGTTACCAAATGCAAAGGCGTCAGTCATGACAAGGAGGGCAGTATTAGTGTTTTGCAAAAAGGAAGCGTTTCGCTTCCTCATTTATAAGACGATGGCATTGGAATGGAATCCCTACCCGCAGATTTGTTCCGTGAACTGCAAGTTAATAGGCATAGGTGTATATACTCCATTGTTGTTGACCTCATCGTCACTTTCAAGCAGGTGATATTATAGATGTGACAGTAACTCTGTCTGTTACATTTTCTCGCTTAAACCGCTGAACCAATTTTAATGAATTATGTTATGGAGATAGATAGGACCTAGGACAAGGACTAGGTTACTTTATTGTCACAATCTTAAAAGGTGTGAAACAAGGTACAAGAGTTTGTGTGGCTAAACAATAAAACTATGACAATTTGTATACCTAGTACAGTAAGCTACTTGATGTATTTATTCTATGCAGACGAAGTCGCGGGCATCAGCTAGTTTCATTATAAAATAACTATAGAATAAAGAGTGTGCGCTTAAATGCGAAGAAACCTGTAATTAAAGTAGGATTTTTCGTATAGTCTGTAAAAGAGGGTAATCCGTAAAAAATGGGGCAACTGTCAACCGTGCTCACGTGACATATGCAAAAGCACGTGATCGCGCGATAAATTCTAATTAAAGCAATCGCGGAAACCTCGCAGACGTGTCGACTGTTCACCGTTGGTTGGGTTATCAGGGCACATTGCCAACTATGTGGCGCTAACAATGTCCGACTGAGTGAATTGTACCGAAATACAAGGGTATCAGGGATGACACACTGACTGGTCTGCCCCTGATATTTGGCCTTGGATATGATTTTTTCCATAATTGCAAGAGTCTGGCGAAAATAGTTCAACCATTTTGCTATTAAAGCATCTAATGGCTTGAGACCTTTGAGTTTGTACAAACCTATTAATGTTTGCTAAGCGGACTAGCTGTACTTATCTCTGTCCGGTCAGCAAAATGTCATCTATTTGATGAATAATAGATTCACAGAAAAGCCTATACTAAGTTGTTTTTCTACGAAGCTCTAACTGTAGCAACACTTAAGGAACGATCCCAGTGCCACGTTTTATGCATCGCCTCAAGTTATTATGTAAGCCGCATACATAATTCCACGTATGTCCGTTCACACAACTAATTGTCACATAATTGACCAATTATAGAATCATCCAAAGGCTTATACTAAGTTATTTTTCAACGACGCCAGCTGTAGCGTCACTCAAGGATCGATCTCGGTACCACATCCTACGCATCGCCTAAAATTATTATTGTAAGCTGCGAACATACAAAGCTGTACGTATGTCTATGCAGACAGATAATTGTCACCTAGTTGACCAATAGTAGTCATATAAGGGCTTATACGGAAACTTTCCTATGAGGCCAGCCGTGGCGTCACTCAAGGATCAATCCTGGTGCCGCTTCTTATGCATCGACTCGTATTTACTATTATAAGCCGCGGATATAGCTATATATGTAGCCTAAGCCGCAGATATACGTATATATAGTACGTATATCTGTTCCAACAGCAAATTGTCATCTAATTGATCAATAGTAAAATCATATAAGGATAACTTATACTGACGCTATTTTTCTACGAATCTAGCTGTGGTGTCACTCAAGGATCGACCCCAGTGCTACATCTTATGCATCGACTGAAATTATTATTATAAGCCGAGCACATACAAAGCTGTACGTATATCTGGTTAGACAGCTAATTATCACCTAATTGACCAATTATTTTTCTGTAAGGTCAGCCGTGGCGTCACTCAAGGATCGATCACCGTGCCACTTTTTATGCATCGCCTCATATTTATAATTGTAAGCCGCGGATATAGCTGTACGTATGCCTGTTAATCCAGTAAAATGTCACCTCACTGACCAATAGTAGAGCCGTATAAGGGCTTATATTGACGACATTTTTCCACGAGGCCAGCTGTGGCGTCACTCAAAGATTATCAAACTCCTTCGACGTGATGATCTTATTCGAAGGGTTAAATTGCTTTTAGAAAGATAAGCAAAACACAATGTAATAAAATAACCATAACCATCTGACGTAAAAGACACGATGACGGACACGTCTTTCGTATTTTTTTTACGTCTTTATTTCGTACGCACAGGTATGTATCGCCCTCAGAGAGTTTCACTTATTTCGCCTTAGTTTTATTGAGCAAGAAACTTTTCGAATTCTTAAAGGTTGCATATTAATATGCAACCTTTAAGAATTCCACCATCATCCATTTTAAAAATTAAAAATAATAATAACGCTGTGTGCGTTATTATTATTTTTTATATTTATATTCTCATAGGCCCGCACTAGGGAAACCCTATATCGCGGGTGCCATGGACACACACATAGACATATAAATACAGGAGTACAAAAAAGATTTAATGAAATCCTACCTTTGGTGTAATAAATAAGACCACACCTGCAAAATTACTACTTTTATTTTTATTTCAGGAGAGAGGCTTAAAGAATCTATACGAACCAAATTAGTCGTTAACTGTTTTATGTTTCATAGGAGAGTTATAAAATAATAATTTTACATATATACCTACATAATTTATTTCATGTAGTTCATATTATTTTGATGGCGGTCATGTGATAAAAGTATTTTTGACGTATACAGTTGGTGGCAACGGTATAATAGTTATTTGTTATGCAAGACTGCGTAGTTATTGTTTGACGCGAGTGCTTGTATTGGAAACCTGAGTCATCCAAGGAGTCTAAGATTTAAGAATTAAGAGATTCAAAAATAGAATTCTGAGCGTAGCGAGGGTTTCAAGGCACGGACGCAAAACAACTTTGCTGCCGAACGAAACACACAACTTTGACCTCTAAATGGTAGATGAAAGAAAAACAGTTGAATTATTACAAATCAGGTATAAAAAACCAAATTAGCTATCATTGTCACAATTGACAAAATTGTTAACATTAATAAGAATAAAATATACCAACGGATTTATTACATAATAATAATATAAGAAAATCGCATGGTAGAACGTGTCATTATCTTTTTTTTCATAGAAGGAAAAGTGAGGTGCACAGTCCAGCGTCAAGTTCGAATTTCAAAAACCTCTTCCACGCTAGCATGCAAAATAGCTATTGCGCGCAAATTTCTAATGAGAACTAAAGCCTTTTCGAGCGAGTGAGGTGAAAAATAAATTTTGTAAGTAATAGTAAATGTAAATATCCCTAATATATTGTTAATAATAAACGGTTTATTAACCTAAACGCAATTTCATCACAATAGTAATTTACGATACTTCATGAAAATATACATTATCAGAACACGTGCTAGACGGCGCACGCGCTGCATGGGTTTTATCTACGTTACGATATGGTAGTGACTCAGAGACAATGTAGGCCATTATGTACTGTTAGATGCACATCAGGTATAACATTTTGACCTTGAGCAAGACTGGTTTTGTTGCAATATATCATATAAATTCAATAATACACATACACACAAAAGGCTTTCAGTTTCGCTAAATATCCGTGTCCCGGGAAAAAAAATCAAGATTCGGTGGCCTAAAATCCCGGGAGAAAAAGACATTTTCGGTACTATTTAACTGAAACTCAAATAATCCTTGTTTCATAGGTAACCAAATTACACTTGAAATTGTCCTATTGATTAATCTGTACTGCTCATTCGTCAGGGAGATTCCCTTGAGAAGAATGAGCGAGAAAATGGGTTGCTCTTTGTAAATAATATAGAATTGTAGGCACACATTTGTCATTTACGATACTTATTCCAAACATCTTAGATCGAGAATACCTGCATGATTTAAAAGTACTTAGTATTCCATATGTATA